AGCTTCAAATTACATATGTAACGTTGTCTTTCTTATCTTTTCAGAATACTGTATTTCTAGAAACACAATTCATTCATTATTCTAGGAAAGTAAAATTATTCAATCATATAGCTCCGTGATTTAGGTTTTGATTTTTAAAAATCTATCATAACGAGCTGAATCATTGATGTCCAGTTTCTGTGTTTAACAAATTTATCAATATTGTGTTTAAGGGACATCAATGTACTGATGTGTTAGGTATTGTGTTCAGAAAGCTGTCTATACTTTCATTATGACATTCATACATATATACATGTATGTTTACAAAATTCCTTTGGCCCCGACATTTTTTCAGCCTAATAGGCAGTCGTTCTAGAAGAGTAGACAAAAATATAGCATAATTTGTCTTGGTCTCATTATCTTTGGTGATGCTCTACCTCTCGTTTTTTCAATTCCGCTGACCCAGAAATAAAATGGCGTCATTTTTCTGGGTTTTTTTTTTATCCGTCTAGCGTCTTCTCGTTTTTTCGCGTTAGCGGATTTCCATTCTGTCGTTTTTTCGCTGTAGCGACTTTTTTCCTTTCGTTATCTTTTATTTCGCACGGAGTCTTTTAAGACGAAATGCCATTTATAAGCCATAGTTCTTGACTAGTACAAAAAGTTGGCAACTTATCCGCTTTACCATTCTGGTGAGTTAAAAATTCTTATTTCACGCCTTTTTCACCATTTCTTTTTGTTAAGATGAATCTGATGTTTCCAGTGTATTAGTGACTGAGTGAAAAATGTTATGATGACAATTCCTGTGACAGTTTCCGCCATGTCACTGCAGATCAATGACGTCGAATGCCAGTGTAAGGAAACACGTGTATACGATGTCAATCCGGTGTTTGGGAATGATTTGTCGTTGATAAATGTCATCATTCGTCAGAGCAATGAACTTCGTCAGCGTTTACCAAGATGACGAATTCAAATTTTTTCGTATTTAAAAACTTCATTTGCCTTTATATTTCAAAGCTGAAGGAAACACCTTAACTACAGAATTATCATTCTCCCTACTGAATATCTATTCAATACTTTATACTCTGAACAATGACAGACGTGACGTCATTAAATACAGATGATAATACTCCATTAACAGTATACACAACACAGTTTGAACACTTACCGATATCTGAATGCTTGCTAATGCGACGAAGATGATTGCTTTAAACATCTGGAAACAAAGAAATCGTTTGATATTAATGTTCTATTTCTTTGTAACTGTGAAAAATATATACATTTGTTTTTAAAAATCACATTTCGACTGTCATCAAATAATTAAAACTCGGACATATTTCAGATTGAAAACGCCCAGTAACGTTCAAAGACATTTATTTGCCATTGGTTTCTATAAAATGAGTATTTTTTTTTTTAATTGTACTTTTATCAAGCAGGTAATGACACTTTTTTGTCATAATGGATCGTTAGAATAATCCGAAAGAAATAGACTGGTTTTACCTACCTTTTTTTGTTCCTGTCAACTGCCCTGCTCTTACAGAAAAAAACATCTAAGAAAATGCTTCAATACATGTATGACGAAGGAGCTTCCGATAAAAGCCGGATTTCCGTTCAAAATTTCCGTTTCCAATGTCATACACACAAGTAAGCTGTGTTAACTTAGTTCTTTAACAAGATGTTACATAAAGTCTGTTTCGGAATTGTAATCAAACGAACTTGTAATCCTTGTTAATAATATCTAAATCTTTCATTAGTAGCGCAAATGAAATAAGTTTTTTTTAATCCAGTTACACAAAGACATTTGATTTGATGGATTGATCGATTGACAGGGTTTCCGCCTCCGCGACTCTTCCTGTTGTCGAGTATCGTGTTACCGACGAACGTCAGTGTTCTGGCGATGTGAGGGGGCGACCTGCACCCTCCTCTGAGAGGTGTCAGGATTTGCAGAATAGGCAGAATTGAACAGTATTTAATATAAAACAACTTCATTTTCCCAGTTAGGAAAACATTTACTTTACACAAAGCGTTACTAAAATGATATTTTGTTTTAAGACGCTATTATCCAAGTCTGTCTTTCACGGGATAGATATTAGTAACATCAAGTAAGAACAAAGTATCAACAAACGTACAAATGATAAAACAGAATCTACTGAATGTCTACCTACTTAGAAATCAATCACATCAATCATATTAATACACTTATCAGACTGATGAGGTATCACTTTCGATTTATTTCAGTTCCTAAAAGTCAACAAGCAGGCTACAATATACCACATTTAATCGGAACGATAGTAAAAAAAAATGCATGAATTTTCCGGTTCAATGATATTCAATGCTATGCATATATATTTTGGTGTCCGCTGCGTATTGCATGAGGCGCCTAATGTGAAGCAACTCAGCGACATTGTGAATTTCGATCATTTAATTACATTTATATTATCTTCTCCGTGGAAGGTAAAGTTGTTAAATTTTATCATTACATGGGAGTAGATCTTTGAAAAATCTATGAGTTCGGTTATATCGTTCCTAAATAATATACAAATTCTTGGAATTTTATAGTGTTCCTGTGATTCTTTAAAAGGATAACAGTACCAAGGTCATTATATATCATATCTTAAATGTCAATGATAAGAATGATTGTGAAAACATTCAACATTTTTCATTGTGTGAACTTAACTGTTTAATTCGACGCGCTTTGTCTACGTTGATTACCCACTACACACGATATGATATAAATAGTTATTTACATGTAATGTGTGCTATGCTATCGATACATTACATGCCGAATATTTTGCTTTAGTTTAACGGTTGTCATTCCTATCAGTGGAATCCTCATTTTTGTTGCAATTGAATATAAAGTAGTAAATTTATTTCTTTTTCGATGACAGATATTTCTTATGATATAAAATTTCTTGAACTGTATGTAGAAAATTCCTGAAAAAGAATCCATCAGAATGAAAATATAGCTAAAAAATAATAATATGCTTCAATTCATGAGGATTTAAGAATCTGTTTAGTCGAGTCTAGTCTTCCACAGTGTCCTCATGTTAGTAAAACATGGTATATGTTAAAAGACATGATTGTTCACAACATAATTATAAGATTTTCATACATTTATCACCGATACAGAATGCACAAAAGTTCATACAAATAGGTTTATCATTAAAGGACAATTTGTCTATTATACATACATACTTATACAGTAAAGTGTAAAAAATTGACATTGTTATACTTTAATAAGCACAGAGTAAAACATTGCTGGTATTGGAAAGAAAATCTTAAAAATAGGTCGTTAAGAGTTCAAATAATAGCACACTAGTTTTTTTTGTTTGAAAGGGATGCTTCAGTTTTTTTTTTGTTTGCTTTGGAGGTTTGTTCCATTCCTGATAACCAGATACATAACAATGTTTTGGACGATAAGCTGTCCAGTGTTTTGAAGTCAATACATTATTACTATATACCCGTCTTGTAGACAGCTGATGAATATTTCCAGCCAAATAAAATCTCTGGAAAGAGATTGTGGTACCACACTATTTATACAACTAAATGTCATAATTGACTTTTTGAACTTAAAAAAATTTTGAATTGACATCACTTTTAAAATTTTAAACATTTCTGCTGAAGGAGCATCATATGATTTCTCTAAAAAATCAATCTGGCAGCACACATTTGAGCTTTTGACAGTTTGTCTAGAGAAGCTTCAGTACTTCCAGACCAGACTGTATTACAGAACATGAAATGAGGAAAACACAAGCATTGTAAATGTTCAAGCGGATTGGATATATTCCCTGCAATGATTACTTTTGTGACATGTCCTTGAGATATTAATCAAACCATGTATTGGTATTTAAATCACATTTGTACAAGTAAAGCTTCTCAAGTAATACAGCATGTTTGACTAAATCAAAAGCTTTCTTAAAATCTAAAAAAAAATAACACTGTTTACAAAACCTTGATCAATATATTTTGCCCATTAACTATTTTCTACAGGGTTATATCTCAACAATGCTTTCCACTAAAACCTGATTGTGAAGATACAAGTAGGTAAAGTAAAGCTTAAATGAACTGAAAAAACACATGAAGAAAATACCAACATGGCAACATAATCATAATTCCAACTCAAATCCCATAACAATAGGGCCAAATATGAACAAAAGATATATACGGAGACTCCTGAAAAAAGGTAGAAGGAGAATGAGATGATCGTCGACACCAACCGTCTAAAAAATGGTCAACCATGATAAGTAATGTGACATTCTCAAATGAGAACAAGGTATACAACAACGGAACCAAACGGCAAGCTATAGAGCATCAAATACGTCCAGCTTCACATCATACAAAAAAATAAATATCTCTCAATGAAATCACTATGGCCACCATGAAACTTTTCACCAGCCTGCATCTTTTGACCTCATGTGTTACGAGTCTGTCAGTCAGTTGATGACTTCTTGCACGAATATCGTGATAATGGGAACAGGCCATTGAATAGATAAATATTTACAACAGATGTGACATTTAATATTTTGCTCTTTCTATACTTAAAATACTTTTAATCATAAAAATATAATTATCGATTGTAATGTTTCCTCTCATCTGACGTACATATCATAATTAAAAGTTATGGATCATCTATATAGAAAATTGTCAATATTCTTTTTATTTCCTTCAATGTTTCCTAATGATCATTTTAATGGGTGTATAATATCTATGTAAAACCAACATAGAACAGGTTATTGTATATGGAAGATTTATCTCCTCAGGCAAGAAACACTAACTGCTATTTGTTCCTCTATCATGCTCGTTTATATACAACAAACCTGTTACAAAGCGTAGAAAGTCTTTAAAGAAAGGGATAACTGACTCAGCATCTTCATGATGTAGAAATACTGTATAACGTATAGCTTATCCATGAACTGTATAACTGATATTAGCAGACTAGAAAGAAAATTCTTTCATCAGATTCAGTTTCTCCTGATAACATTCCAAATATATTTGATTTATCTTTATGTCCGTTTTGCACTTACCTGTGCATGGCAAACAGGAGCTAAAAATACTACACCAATCAACCACAGCATCTCGGCTATACCTTTATGGAAAAAAATAGCAGAAAATAAATCAATGCTAAACCACATCATATCAAATAAACCCACAAAACAACATACTTGCGATATCACCGAAAAGTCCACGTGATATTTCTGTGGATGAATCACATTTCTTTCACCTTTTGTGAAATCAGTAGTTTACGCAAGCGGGACGTAAGAATTGTACCTGCTGTCATTGCATGATTCGTAGGATGTGACAAAAATTGGCATCTAATATTTTCAACCTTTCTAAACATATGTTATTTTCTAATTTGTCTCACGATGTTTCCTCACTTTTGACCCTTCGTTCAGCTTTCGTCCCTGTGAGGACGTTTTGTATATTGATTTAAATATCCCTGCTCAATGCTTAACATTGTGGTATTGTAAGGAGTGTTTTCTTATTGTCATCATAATGTGACAAGAAGGATATTGGGGATCTCTGACTGTATACTTTATTATGGTAGCACCATAAAGTTGGGTTTAGTTCCATTGATCATTCGCGATATCAAAAGGAGGCTTACATAAGCATATCATATCCTCCTACAAACAGGGCGTCGTTAGACAACATAACCTCAAAAAATTCAAAACGACGTTACTGACCTGACGTCACACACAAATTACATTAAAACGTCATAAAGGACAGCATACTCAAACATGAAATAAGTTTGGCATGAAAAAATATTTAATCATGTGAGAGTTATAAAAATTCCAACTGAAATTTAAAGTACACAAGACTCGTTCCACAAATATCATATTATATGGAAACACATGCAAAACTGCATTTATATACGGCACACACTATTACACTAACTTCTCTACACATAAGAAATATCGGTATATGTAAGTAAACTTGAAAAGAATAGTTGGATAAACAACCCTGTATGTGTTTAATTCCATTCAACAAATGTCCAAACATGGAAAAAGTTTTTAATATATATCACTTCTGGCTTTATAAAAAAATGTTTTTCACTTTTGTTTATTTTCTGAAAACATATCACTGTTTGCTCTATGTAACACAGTTATGTTAAACTATATAAAATAGCCAGTCCTATACAGCCCATTTCTACTTAGTTTTCCGCATGTCTACCATTACTCATAGACAGGTGACACACATTCATAAAACTCTCTAATCATTGGTTGTTTTCAAATGTGTACAGATCTAGCAGAAGGCCCTGTTAAACACACTATACCTTCTATAATCAGATACGTGTTTGATATTAGGAAATTACAGCAGTAAGACAGTAAAATGCAACATGTTTTATACTGAGGAAGGATGTTTCTTAAGGTTAAAAGAATTAGATTGTGTCACTGAAGATATTATATTTGAATATAAATGGACTTGATCATTTTTACTCTATTTTAGAGAACTGCTTGCATTTAACAATCAAATCAATAAAACGTTCCATTGTGTTTCTAAAAAAAATCACCATTCATAATTAGTTACACATTTTCTTTCAAAATTACCGCGACCGTTTGTACCGGAACGGTATACTTTCTTTCCGCTAGATCCAGAAAATGTCATTCACTCACCTGTTTATGATCTTGGCTTTTGGTTTGCTTCAGTAATTGTCTCAGAAGTCAGTGTCAATAACGTGTCATCAGTTAACATCCGGCGAGTACTTCCGTCAGCCGGAATTATTCACTTATGGAATTTTCAGTGATACACATTCACATATACACGTCAGCACACACGTACACTTACACGTAATTCTGTGCATCAAGCATCTAATAATTTTCACAAATATTCCTACGAGTAGTATTTTAAGCCATATTCATTTCTTTAAATGAACAACTAATATATATATATATATATATATATATATATATATATGAGAAAATACCCATTGACTAAATTTTCTTCATTATCTTAAAGTTATCATTTTCACGTTTATACGACGAATCATATCCAGAAGATGTCCTTAATATCTAATATTTCTCAGACTGAATTAGTATATTTTAAATGTGATTCTACATGTGTTTTCCTCAGGTACACTATATAAAAACTTACTTTATGGGGGAAATATATCAAAATTTCTCATATATCTGAAGTGCTATTGGAATTTGGTTAAACACTCTGATTGAAAAATCTGAAAATAGGACAGGTTTTTTTCAGTCACTGTACATGTTATGCATATAGTCAAGTGAGATAGAGAGAACGCCCACTCATACTGTGTTCCTACTTTCGCTTCCGCTTCACAGATATAGGTTTGTATCACCGCTGTCAGTGTTGTCGTCTATATCTGCTTCAATTGAAATTAGATTTTGTCTTTACATGCATAATGGTGTTTTATATTTTATATATCTGGAGTGACAATAGAAAAGATAATTTCGATTAACATACAACCCAATGACAATTGGAATAATTTTTGATCATATCCGAATATCTTTGTGAAGTGAATAAACATTAAAGCAGAAAGATTTATGACAGCATTACATATATCGATCACACTAACAATGAAACACGTGTTACAATAGCCAAACTTGTTTATTTCATTATATGAAATAACAAATAAACATAACAATATACAGAAATATACAATTTATAAGTAAACACAAATTGAAATTGTACGAAAGTTAATTAGCACATTGCTATGCCGATTTCTAAATAGGAATTGACCCGTTCTATACAGCTATTTCATGAAGAGAATGAGATAAATCAAAATTGGTTGAAACATAATGTCAAAAACCGTACGGAGAGATGAACTAACCAGAAAATTGGTTGAAACATAAAGTAAAAATCCGGACGGAGAGATGAACTAACCAGAAAATTTTTCATAGATTTCAATATTAAATAATCGCTTTTGTAAATCTATTAGATTGCAGGTGGCATACACTGTAAGCAGACCTTTAGTCCCCGTGGTATACCGATAACTGCAAGCCACAATTTATTTCATTATTATTAGACACGTGAACACTACCAAATTTATTTGATTATATTGCTAATACACGTTTCCATCCAGATGTTTACATTTCCATTGACTTTGAATATTCCAGATTTGCATCCTAGATTTCAAACTTAAGGCCATGGACATCGCTGATTTGTCTTAGAAGGACGAAACAGAGGTATGATAAAGTCAATTTCATTATTTGTCTACACCGTTTCCAATTCTAACTTTGTATTGAAAAGTGCTTTTCACTTCGGCCTCTGTTGTACATTTTTAATCTGGCAAGTTGTAGACACTACTGGGGGGTGTTTAGTCCCCGAAATTTTCCTTAACCAGCATGCTACGTTTTATTTTATTCGAATAATGCCACGGTTCATATACATGTACTTAATGATCTTATGAAGTTGTCGGCTATATGAACATAACGAAAATTATTTAATGATAGGGCTTAGAAACAATAAACGCAATATGTAATTATAGATACTATAAAGGTAATAGAACCAGTTGTTCTGGAAGGGAAGGATTCGTTTGCTTCATTGGAAACACATGCCATGTAAACAAAGACAAATGCAAAAATTTTAGAATATATAACAAATCAAAGTTAATATTGGCAAAGTCATCTTATACCGTGCTTTATGGATATGTGTGTTTACGTTTTTGTTAGCCTTTTTTATTCTTATCTCTCAAAATCTTCTCGTTTTTAAAACTATCTAATCTATGTTTCTTTTTTATCAAATATAAAGTAATATCTTGCAATTTAAAGCGATCTAATTATCAACCATGTAAAAGGACCTGAAAGACTTCAAAGGAATAGCTAATTAAACAAGTGGCCCACAAGACAAATGTGACGTAGTCTAGAAATTAGCTGGAAACAGTTTGTTTTTACCAAGCAATCTTGTCTAGTGAGATTTAATCATCTAAGTGGTTTCGTGTATTGGACATAACGAGAAGCATGCATACATGTGAACAGTGATTGGACTAGTCGTTTTGGAGACTATGTAGTTTGCAGTACGATGGGAGACGTCTTACTGATCAGATCGTTGGTCTGCATTGCAGATCTTATCGTAGCTATCTGTTCTTTGACCATCAATACAGCTGCCTCGGTGACGCTTTGCCGTTGTCGCAACATTGTCCCGCAAATCAAGATTCTTGTGTACAACTTGCTTGTGATACAGTGGATATATTCGGTATGGATTATAATAAGCAGATGTATAGTTCTTCATTCCGGATTTGTTTTATTTCCTTATTACTGCAATGCAGTCATGGTTGGTTTAACTGAGGTCATTGGTGTCTCCGTTGGGGTCGTGACTTGTATGGCCATAGACAGGATGCTAGCTGTATGCTATGTTACGTGGTATATGGTACATATAACAAAGGGATCTACTTTAGCACGCTGTGCAACGATATGGTTATTTATACAGCTTTTCGCATGGATTCCTTTCGTTCGCAATGAAAAAGGTGGAAATTGTGTTGCGTCAATTTATAATGATTTCCAAATTGAAAAATTACTTCTTGGTATAGTGTTTTTCTATTGTGCTTTCGTTTCTTTGATTTGTGTCTACCTCGTTGCTAAGAAGATTCGAAGTGACAGAATGGTTATGCCTGTGGAGGCACCAACAAGAGGCCATAGCAACGAAATTCCATTAACTTTATACAACACTCCGATCGTAATATTTTCAGTAGTGATGATAGTGTTTTCCACCTGCTGTCCACTAGCAGTCTCTTTTCTTTTATCGCTGGTGAATAACAACACTTTAAGCGCTGACAATGTTATGTTGATATATGCAGAGCTTTATCACACTGCTTTTCAGACGTCTCTCACTATTACCACAACAGTATTTGTTTTCATATTTAAAGAGAGTCGCATTTATTTCATAAGAACATTTTTCTGTTGGTATCCAAATTTCATGGAACTTGCAGATCGTTTGGAACGGAAATTCAAACAGGAAAATGAAGAAGTTGCTCAGTCTCAGCCTCGAAATCAACCTTCGAATAACGTGGTGTCACCGCTGGTTAATGTGAGACCTTCCTCCGACAGTGACAGTGATGCTGTTATGGACATTCAAGACATAGATATCTTCATTACTGACACATCCAACGGGCACGGGCCTAGGGCCAACGTCGAGTATAGTCACACTCCAAATGTTTGGAACTACTGAATATGAGCAGAGATAAAAATAACATTTAGTATTGTTTACAGAGATAGCGTAGTAATGTAGACTTAAAGCTAGACATGTGGATTCTGTTACTATGTTTTACTATAAAAAGAAATTAAGGAGAAAAAATATAAAATTATTATCCGTGTTAAATAAAAAGTGAGTTTTCACATTGTTTCGAAGGGATAAAAAGTGCTTTAGGAAATATTTAATGTAGATCTCAGAAACCATGATTTGACGTTTTTATGTCAATAATTGATTAAATCTTCTGTGTTGCTATCGAAGATCATTGTCTGTGTGTTTATGCTTGTATTGATATAGCTGTTTCATTTACTGTATCAACAATACTTACTACAACATGAAATATATCATATATGAAAAGCAGCAAACAGGTTAAAAAAGTATTTGTTTCTCATAGAAAATGCGGCTGGATATGTTTTCCTCTTACATGCACCTCTGAAGTATTCTAATTTACAACATGATATAGTTATTGGAAAGTAGACTTAGGAAGTGCGTATATTATAGAGACACAAATTGAATACTGCTTTTATATTTCCGCCTCAGCAAAATGTTGGTTATCGAAGATACATTCCAGACAATGATATTATTTCCACGAGTAAGTTACAAGGTAACATAAATTTGTCTGTTATCAGCAAACCTTGTTTACATTAACTGGTAAATGTTGAATTGTTATCTGACATCATTTTTTCCATTGTCATCTTCATATTTAAAGAGAAGTTACAATGCCATGTATCAAAACATATTCTAAATAGCCTCTGTACTTATCAATAAAAAAACTCATCTATTGTTGTATTTGCATTAATAACATTAACATCATAAATACATTACAATCACCCCGAAGATGATTCACTGCCTCATGAAGGACGAAATTTGTTTTTTTTTAATTACCATTTCACATTCCTTCCCCTCCCCTGAGGCACTGAAAAACATTTCACTAATTCTTATGAAGAAAAAAAACATCATCAGAGGTAGATTATAAACATCATGTAATATTTCACTGGAATTGTCATTTATGACGGCCTGATTCATCGGATGTGTTTTCTCAAATAGAAATGCTAATAAGGTATTTCTAATCCATCATTTGATGATGGATAGGAAAATTCCACACACCAACGTATTCCTTATGGTAGTATATAATGTTTCGCATTAATTGTCAATGTGTGAAAATGACGTTTTTCATTGTGAGTATTGAACAGATTTTGTGAATCAATCTCGAGATCAATGGATATGATTGTCAACTATCACCTCTATCGGATTTTATTTTATGAAGAAATCCCCACTTTGCTTCTTCCGGAACTCAGGTACACAGGTCATCAAAATACAAGTATCACATACAATATTTAAGAGAGTTTTTTTAAATTTCTAATAAAATGTTTCCATTCAAATTTCTCCAACGGACACTTTACAGACTAAACAAGACATTAGTTGTGATTCATGTACATAAAGAACTACTTTCACCTTTGTGGGAAGACCTTCATGATATACAGTATAAGTGGAGAAATATGCCTATTACACTAGTAAATTTCACTATTGTTGATCCCTGTTGTATGTGACTGGCTAGGACCACAGCAATCAGTTTTACATTCTTGTAATCGTACTGATGATCGACTTGTGTTTATCAATAATGAGGATTCCATAGTACACCTTGCTATATCTACACATGTACCCGAGTAAACCTACTACAGACAACACATTGATAACTACTGCAGTGTAGTGATAAAATTTGACCTTGTTTTTACAGAAATCGACAATAACGACACGCTGTTGTCTGTCTTTATAAACTGATTCATTCCTTTAAACTGAATAAATAGGCTTACACTTATAAGCAGGATTTACGTTAGATTAGTTATTAAAACCACATTTTAAATTAATCATATGATGGTTACGTCATCCACAGATTTTATCTGGGTATACTTACTGTATGTACTCATTATATGTAACGGACTGACAACATGGAGACCATATTGTACTACCGCCTTTACAAAAGAATTGAACTCTATATCGAAGCTCTTTAGAAACCCATGTTTCAGGATCACTATAGAATTAACTAACGGCTTTTAAACAAATTGACTCTCCCCCATCCCTACCCCCTACTTGACATCTTTTTTAACGGACTTGACTCATTATTCACTGGCTATCATATAGGTGCACTGTCTTGTAAAAAATGATCTTAAAGGTATATATGTTTATCAGTTACCCTTTTTAAAATTACCGATATGAATTTATGGTATTTGATAATTGTTTAAAAATACGATAAAGGCGGAAGTTATCAGCTTTTCAATGTTTTCATATTCAAACCATTGGCTGTTTTTATTAGGATTATTGATATCTGGTTTACTAAGAACATTACTTCTTCTGATAACAAAACTGCTGGGATCACACACGTGATGATCATGTGCCCGCCTGTAATGTGATGAACCTGATAACACTGAGAAAAGTTATATATTAATATATAAACATTATCTATGTTCTGTACGACCAAGAGGTGGACATAACACAAATACAGGTAGGATAAATTCAATTTAATGACTATTTCACTATTCATGCGTTTTGAATGATTCATTCTAATTGCGGGGAGTTTTTATTAGAAATTTAATATATGAGTTACCGGGATATTTTGTGGGAAGTATATAAATTGCATTAATGATGTTGTGATAGAAGACAATTAAATGGAATTATATATTAGGTCCAAATGTTTAAAACCAATGGCGTTGGCGCGATTTCTCGGTAGGATAAACCGCCAGTGCACACCAGTTGCTACAGGAGAATTTTCCTGCAGGAACTGGTCCAAGCCTTGAACGATGAATGAAACAACATATCCCGTTTTTATTTGAAATTGCCACCGAACACATCGGATATAACCAACCGAGCGTAAAGTTTTGCAATTATCCATTAGAACACGTCTTGTCTGATTTGATCAGTTACTTCAGTATATGTATGATAATGGCTTATAAAGATAATGATTAATTCATTGCAACATAGAGTAGAAACACGTTCTGATTTGGTCTAATGTCTTTTAGCTTCAACGCATTTCAAATATCACACTCATATCATCATACCACACACACAACGACACACAAACACACACACACACACCCTCACACGCACAACACACCCTCACACACACACACACACACACACACACACACACACACACACACACACACACACACACACACACACACACACACACACACAAATATATATATACCACATAAATATAACACGTATATATGATTTTGTTTTTCATGAAAACTATGGCAACCGTTGCCTATGGTAACCACTTATTTTTAAGAACAAATACGTACATATCAATAACATATTATCTGTATCATGTATATTTATAAATAACTCTTACATTTGCATGCGTATATGACAATTATCTACGATAAATAACATAAGTTTAGAATTATCCTATAGTTATAGCGACCTAAGACGTATTACATATTTATAAGTACCATTATCAACAAATTTAACATCACTGGCAACCTTTAAAAAATATTTCGTTATCCTTCCACCTCCATTAGCATCGAAGCTATTTTTATCAGAATAGAGGGAAATTTTGATAATCGTCCTGATGATAGGTTTTGCAATGTCGAACTAGTTCATAGATATAAAGTTATCTTTACTATTGCATGGCATTGGTACAGTGTTATTTTACCAGAGTCAGTTGTGTATTGTCCATGGCGGGTAAGATGAAGAGTGTAAAAAGTATAACAAGATAAAACATTGACCTGCTTTAGTCGACATTCTTTTGCCTTTATGAATGCAATGACGAATTCAACATGAAGCGCCTTTGCTTTGAAAGACAAATGTAGCACACGGTATAAACGATTCTTTTGATTATGTTTCAACGTATATCTTTAGATAGATAAAGAAAGTCGTCATTCATTTCGCGGGCAATCGTTCTGTACCCTGTCCTTGACACGATGTAAATAACATTATTTTTTACACATCGTCTTGTAGATTAGGATCTTGTAAACTAGTTGTCACTCTTTATTTCACTGTCCTTACTGTACGTTACACAGAGATTTTGACCTCACTTTCATCTCAGTCGCCTTAGTATAACTGACGAGTCCTAGAAGGGCGAAACTGCTATATGATGCAGTTTTAGTCATTGTTGGGTTTTTCTTTATCTTAAATCATAAATATCATAAATATTTGTGTTAAAAGTTGCTATTCACTTGTGTGTCTTTTTACAATCTTATATCACTTCCAACTACCAAGGATGCTCGGGATATAGCATTGTACAACATATTGATAATAAATACACGAATTTTACTAACATTGTTCCTAATGCGTGCAAATAAAAGGCGGGCCAGTTGTATTCTTTTCTTTTCTTTTTTTAATGCTACAAGACATGTTGTTGCTACTCAAATTACTGAATGACGTTTTTTAAGAATATCAAATCTGTGAAACTTAAACTGTATCTTTTACCCAATTGCATTTACAACAATGCAAGGTAATGAACACACAGTAGTGTAACACTTTTGGAAAAGGCAATGCTACTGCACCATTTTAACAACTACCACCAGTCTTTAACTACTATATATTTTTAAACATATTCTTTAAAGAAAATCCGTTTTTCTTTGGTAGATCCGGTAACATCATTTGGGATTATGAACCGTCTTGTTTCCCTCTGTATCTTGTGTTTGGCTGTCCACCGGACAGCTGCTGATACCAGCACTATATCATTTCATGATGCCGACACCACGGACAGTTATGAAGTGAATTCGGTAAGTGTAAAATAAACAATCATAACTTATGTATAAAATCATTATGGTATGAAGAAGCTGTGATCTATGCTTCGCCTGCTACTTCATATGTCCTAAGACGATAGTAAACAAAATGTTGTTCACGAATGCCATACCATTAATAACTTCAAATCAGTGAAGGTACTCCTCACTGTGTGGCAAACCCAAAATTATACTACGAATTGATTTGTAAGTACATCGAGGGAAATATATAGAAATGGTCAAGATTACTGATCAGAGGTGCATAGAGATCGGTCTCAGTAATCTATGTGGTAAATGAAGAGAAGTTTACTTCACATCAGTTAAAACGTTTGAAATGTATCATTTTAATGATGATCAGTCGATGCTGACGAATAAAATTACGAATAATAGTAAAATAACAAACCATTGATGTCACAATGAACATTTAGCAACCTGTAAATGCTATGAAGAAACACAATTATGTCTCGTTCCCTCTTTTTTCCTCAGTCTTCAGAGTTCTTTTTCTCATTTTTTATTATTTTTTTTTGACAATTTATCTTTCTAGCTCATAGTGCCTACTCCAGTACTTTGCATTTCTGAGGATCCCTTAATTTGTGGGGTTTTTTTTCGTAAACTGATAAAAGACTGAAGGATGTCAAAGTTAGATGTTTTTATAACGGACCACAAAATTAAAAAGAACAAATATGATGGTTTTTATTCCGTATCATCATATATAATTCAAGGTATAAACATTTAGAAATAAAACATTTATGATTTTAGTATTCGAAAATTCCACTGGATGCTGATTGTGAAACAACCGACAAGAATTGTTTCCAGAAATGCAATTCAAGGTCTTGTCGGTTTAGGGTGAAATGGAAAAGGACGGGGGACTCTGTGGAATTTGATGTTCTCCAGGACGTTAGCTATCTCGAGCCTTTTAGTATGTGGATCGCCATTGGGTTTTCAAAGAACAAAGAAATGGTAAAACTATATACCGTTGTTTTTCGTTGCCATCATGTAATTCGTTCAGGAAGTAAATATAGACAATGTTGTAGCGATGTGCTGATTGATTAACCGAAAAGGTGCGTGTCGAGTCATTTCATATCAGGATGTACCACAATGTGAATTTCGATTTATCAGAGACACGCATTTTCACCAAAAAATAATAGTGAAAAAAGAAATTATGATGTTACTACTGTCGAAATCTAAGAAAAGGGATTTTATCATTTCTTAGACATGGCCATTATCATATTTGTAGCCTTCCTTTAACTTAATTTGTGAAAATATCTCCCGACCCGAAAGTCTAATGTAAAGGCCTCATGTTTTCGGACGAGATGTCCATAGGATTCACATTTAGACATAATTATTTTCCTGAATATCTAACCTAAGCATTGTTATTTGAATATCACTTAAACTATATTTACTTTGGTCTTTATTATTACTGATGCCATCTAACTAAATGCCATTCATTTAGTCGGGGACAAGTGTTGTGATGTGCAAGTATTACGACTTCCCTATACTTGTTGAGATTGGACACAACCAAGGTCACCGCTACGAATCATTAAGAAACGTAAGTATAACATCGATAAAACCACACTTCTGAAGGTAACGCAAAGTTTCAATACGTGTGCCCAATATTTATCTTAAACTTATTTGAGTTTTTTCTTCTATATGAAGACACTTGAAATACATTTCTTCGGAAAAGGATTATATTCAAAATGAAATAGAATGAGCCTGATCGAGCGAAAAAGGTTGAGAACAAATCAAAGGTGTCATATACAATTTTTGTACACTCTTTCAATAGAATTATAAAATCCGAAATGGAAAGAACTGTTATAAAGGAGATTTATGCTTGTACAGGTTTGCTAATGCAGATCAGACACACGCATCATGCTGATATCATTTTGAAAATTTCCTTTTGGTTATTAAAAGGGGTTTGAATACATAACATTAATGGATAAATCTTCATCATTATTCAAATTTGTTAGATTAGCTTGTTTCATAATGTTATTTGGACATTGCTTATTGCTGCTTGAGAGTCTCTAGAATTAATAACCCAGCCTTTCTTTCCTTTCAGGCAGCACATGCACTAAATGATGTTAGTGCTAAAGTTGACAATGGCATTTTCAGTTGTCATTTTCAACGTCTCATCAATGTTGAAAATCGTTACGTTTCCTCATTCTCAGACCCGTATTACCTGTTGGTTGGGCAGGGTAACCTCAATTTAATATCAGGTAACACTCATTCAACATTCATGACGGTCAGTAGGGATTGTTCAAAATATTCGACGAAACTGTTGCAAAATAGAACAAAAGGAAAGGTTTACAAAAAGACCTCCGAAAAAATGCAAGGAAAATACTAGCAGGTATTCGGAAAGGGCAAGCGTCTTTTGCTTCATCGACGATACCCACTATGTATGTCTTGGTCCCTCGCGTTTCTCGCGGATTAGATGTCCAATATTTTCATATTGTCATAAATAGATAGCAATCTAAAATCTTAAATGGCAGCTCTGCCTCTTATAGCAAGGCCTTTCAAATTTAATGCATTTTGAAACAAATACCTTGTGAATGGATTTTAATTTTACATTTTGCCCAAACTTCATAGATTTGAACTAGAATTCCGAATACGTCGTTCACATCTCAGTATTTGTTTGTACTTACATTCCGCTCGAACCAAAAGTGTGTCTTATGGTATCGGTGTGTACTTTTATGTGTACAGAGTACGATTAAGACTAAATATTTCTGGCTCTTTAATTCGTATTATATTTGTATCTTTACAATCAACACGGAGCTAACGGAATAATATATTTTATGAACCATAAACTTCCTTTCCATTTCTTTCTCGTCTTGATCCCATATTTACGTGTTTATATAACGCTAATATGCTTTATTTCTAAAATTGTAAAATTTTATGTTGACTCACTAAGTATGACTTAACTTTATTACAGGAATTCCTCAACAGCACTTTAACGACCCTACATGTACTGACAGCAAAATAAACTTTACCCGCAGTCATGATTACCCAGTGACTACCTCTATTCCCGATCTCCCCATATTGGTAAGTATACTCACAAAATTACAACTACGTGTTTGTAGAGACAACAACTACTTTAAAAATCCAAAGGAAATTTCTGTTAAAGAGTCTGGAAGTTGAATATCAACGTGCTTGGTAGTACACTGTAAAACATGATATTATAAAGGCATTTAAATGACTGAACTTATTTTATATTGCCTCTCCATGTCACAATATTAACTAAATGGTCGATTTCAGATGTTGTTTTTATGCAAAATATTCAATTAAACGTCTATCTAATTTGTACTTATTCCTAAAATCGCCTTCTTAAAGCCTGCACGATTCAACCCTGATCCGGAGTGTGGAGTGACAAAGAATTGTTTCCGTGACTGTAACAGCACAGATACGTGTTCGTTTCAAGTCATATGGAAAGAAGATGGAGATTTCATAGACTTTACAATGTCACAGATAGTTAGTGCTGCAGACAATTACTGGGTAGCTCTTGGTATATCGGATGATACTAACATGGTAAGAACAGACATATATTCGAATGATATCTATTAAAAATAGAAAATAAGGTTTAAAATTATATTGTTCTGTCAAGATAGCACAATAAGAAAATCTTCAAAAATGACATGAAACCGGTTTCAGATGAACATTTAGTAATTTTTTTTTCAAAACATTTGGTAATCTAATAAAAATGAGTACTTAATAAGATTATTGACTACCTTGTATGTTTTCAAGTCACTATAACATGTATTACAGGAAAATACTAGTGTAATTATGTGTAAGGACACGAATGGGAACATCATTGTGGAGCTCGGCTACAACCCTGGACATACGTATCAAACTCTTGCTACGGTTGGTTTATTTCCACTGTATAAGTAACGATTACCTACCTTACCTCAAAATTTCCATATCTAAAGTCTATGGAATCAAAGAATAGTAATTAAAAATACAGCTATATGACGGAGTTTCATTACCACATTCCGCAAATGTTGTATGCAACATTAAATTTATATCTGAACGGTTTATTATTTTTTGTTTTGTTTGGTCGAACTATTTGTTATATAAGTTAAATATCAACGCTTGGTTTTTTTTAGAATACCAGCGACCTTGTAAATACCAGCGGTTCACTTGAAGATGGAGTCTTCACATGCAGGTTTCAACGAAGAAAGATTATCACAGACTTTAATAACACTTTTCCGCTGACATCAAAACATTTTATCATGGTTGCCTATGGTCAAATGCAGTCAGGTGAGGCACTATCATATTGTTTAAGCAGTCCTAATTTAAGAAAATTTTATTTACACATTGATTTGAACCATTATAAAACATTTAATTGTATTAAGAAAATGTCCCTTTAAACAGGAATCGTACTTAAGCATGCCAATGAACCTTCCGTCAGTCCAGAAAAACAGGAATTCATACACAACGTACCAGAAATCACAACAGTAAACCCAGGGGAGATAACAACTCAGGTACAGTTGAGTACATTTGTAATTCTGATTTGAAGACAAAAATACACCTATGATTAAACAGAGATTTAACTTTAACGATGTGATGAAAGAGGTATGTCTTTCTTGTATCACGAAATGGTTCTCTTTGTAAAAAACAAAAGCATTTTATAGGATTGTGATAAGGGCTAATATATCAATAGACTATGAAACATACCCACTTTATACATCCTGTTTTCAGCCAGTAACTATCATCCCCTCCTTGGACTGTGGAGTTACCAAAGGATGCTTCTTTAACTGTGTCAGTAATGACAGCTGTACGTTCCAAGTGACCTGGCATGAAACTGGAGATTTCATAGACTTTACAATGTCACAGAATATTAGTGATGTAGACAACACATGGATAGCTCTCGGTATATCGGATGATACCAAAATGGTAAGAACAATAATACTGATATTTAGTAAATGGATGAAAAGAGAGTTATCTGTGAAGGATTAATGCATATTATAATTTCAGTGTCGGTGCAACATTGCAAAAGGCTGGACTAAGAACTTCAGTTAATCAACACGTTGATCTTCGGAATTTATTGCAGTACATGCCTGCAAAAGGATGGATAACGAGAGGACCAGAAAGAAACAAGCTTAACCTTAAAAAAGAGGCGTTTATTAAGACAAATGGATAAGCTCATGAAATGTTTTAAACCAAACATGCGTAAATGCTGTGTTGCAAACCTCATTTCATGAAAACTGGAAAAATGTACATCCTTTAAATTACAGGCAGACACTAGTGTCATAATGTGTAAGATGACGAATGGCAGCATTTCAGTAGAGCTTGGCTACAACCCCGGATACTCATACAACAGTCTAGCAACAGTACGTTTATTATTTCTCTTTACTTTCTTTTTCTTTTGCTTTTTATTACAACTTGTATTAATTTGATTGGTTAACATGTCTTTGATTGAAATGAAAGTTTGAAGATAAGTGTTTCCGTAAATTCTAATAGAAAGCAGTGATATAACGGACTGTGACGGATGGAAGAGAAAGTTCAATGTTTCGTATCAAAATATCTAGTTATTTTGTTTCGTGTAGAACACCAGCGACCTGATACATACTTCGGGATCAGCAGTAGACGGAGTCTTCACGTGTAATTTCCAACGCAGAAAGGCAATCACTGACTTCAACAATACATTCTCATTAACCGAAAAGCGTTACCTTATTGTAGCTAATGGCATTTTATCATCCGGTAAGTCTTCGGTGATTTATATACATATTCATTGCTTTATACTCCTTCTATTGAATAACTATTCTACATACTTGATTTCATCCGCAATATATACAGCTTTTATTTGTATACAAATGGTCTTTGAAAAGGTGTCCCTGTGCAGCACACCAATATCCCTATAGTCAGTCCTGAGAAAGAAGACTTCATCCACTTCGGTCCAGAAATTACAACGGTAAATCCAGGGGAGATAACCACTCAGGTACATGTTCTTTGACTTTACTGGTAAAATATACTTGGTTTGATAAACTGCTGAAGACGTTTACCCTTTCGGAACACCTGACCGTTTTCTCCTTGTACTTTTTCAGGAGTCTCCGTGTTATTAACTGTTTCAATAAACATTTTCTTTGTTGTTATTGGAAAATATGACATGACTAAAGAATCTTTGTTTTTATGATCCTGTTAGACTGCAAATTCCAAAGTACTTTGTGTCATTCTTTGTGTTATCTTCTGTCTAAAGCTTTAATTTCATAATTGCTGTAATATTATGATCTGCGAAGTTGACATATCATTTCCTAAAAAAGATATGACGTTATGAAAAAAAAAATGAAATAAGTTCAATTTGTTGATGGAATTTTAATCCGATTCCCGAAAGTCGAATGCAGATAATGATAATTTCTTCGCGATTTAAATTAAATAAGATCGAAAAATACCTCACAGTGATACAGTTATGTTTCTATTCCTTCCGTTATTATCAGAAAATTACGGGTCGGATGTTCACGTTTGGTTTGGTGCTGCGCGTATTAGCTGGCAATCACCAAAACAATACTTTTTTCATCTCATGCAAAGCGTGTTCATGACCATTTATGAGTTTCGGTATTACGTAAGATTTGCGAAAAAAGTAATATATTGTACTGCGAGCTGAAAAGGAAAACTATGACAGTGTCATAAATATCAAATGGAAATGAAATGAATGTTTTATCGTTCGTAACAAATTGTCAGAATTGTTTACAAATAATGCAGTGAACACATATGTAATCTGTATCATTCTTACATAATTTTCTATCTATTTTACGATTATTGTGTCAAAACATACCGTGTACGTGTGCGATGTTTATACGCAATGTGATGTTAATATATATAACATACTTCCAGAATTAAAAATATTTTAGTACTCTTTCCGTTTTAGTGTAGTGAAACAGGGCAATCATGTGATTAAAGAACATATAAAAGCAAACATCATTTTTGTTTTAGCCAGTGACGGTCATCCCTTACTCAGACTGTGGAGTCACAAAAGGATGCTTCTTTGACTGTGTCAGTAATGACAGCTGTACGTTCCAAGTGACCTGGCAGGAAACTGGAGATTTCATAGACTTTACAATGTCACAGAATATTAGTGATGTAGACAACATTTGGATAGCTCTCGGTATATCGGATGATACCAAAATGGTAAGGACAAGTGTTTTCGTAACAGATCATCGAAACGGGTATGAATTTTCAATATATGGTGAGGAAGCACTGGTGCATTTCACTCTGTTTATTGGTCGAGTTTAGATTTTTGTGAAAACGTTATTATCATATTAATTTGCCCTCAATTGGTAGCTGAAAATAGGACAATTTTATACCTAAAAAAAAGCTACATTTACCAAAGTTTTCATTCGCAGAGATAAATTATGCATATCTTCATTTTGAAAAGAAATACGACTGGTCAACCAAGAGTTTAAATCAATGATAACAACCCCTCTTTTGAATCCAGTAACAACTATCTAACTGTATTAGTTGTAAAGTATCAGTAACAGATGCATGTGAACAGAAAAACAAGAGAATCGGTAAAACCACACGTTAGTTCCAAAATGACTAATTTTGACAAACTTTAAGTATAAAAAATAACGAAGGACAATGACTTGTTGGTTCTTGTATCTTGCCTTCTCCTTATCGAGATCTATCTATCAATGAAGTTCACTGTAGATACCTGATATAGTTTTTGTGACATGCACCACACAAAAGTATAACGGACAGACGGGCGAACGGACGGACGGGAAAAGTGGCAATTATATGCTCTTCCTTCGTGGACTATAAAAACAGGTGTTAGATCATATGACCAGAGATTCTGCGCACGCACCATCAATTAAAGAGATCCATCAAAGATCCACAAAACCCTGTTTCTAATTAAGTTCAGCAGACTGGAAACATTTCTGCACAAGAAATTGGTTGGTTTTGTTTTCATAATACTTATATGTTTTTTCGGTCTTACACAGAAAGACACCAGTGTCGTGATGTGTAAGATGACAAATGGCAGTATCTCAGTGGAACTTGGCTACAATCCTGGTTATTCGTACAACAAGATAACAACGGTATGTCTTTTTATTATATTATATTTCATACAGTTAATTGCCATATTTTCAGTATACATAAAAAAAGTAATATCTTGTTAATTAAAATCTAAAATGAACACACTCTGAAGAACACATAAAGAAAATACATAGTAGTTGAACAAATTTAGACCAATACATGAGGTAACAACTTTTTACCCTCAGAACACCAGCGACCTGATACATACTGGGGGATCAGCGGTAGACGGAGTCTTCACGTGTAATTTCCAACGCAGAAAGGCAATCACCGACTTCAACAATACATTCTCATTAACCGAAAAGCGTTACCTTATTGTAGCTAATGGCATTTTATCATCCGGTAAGTCTTCGGTGATTTATATACATATTCATTGTTTTTGTACTCCTTTTATTGAATAACTATTCTACATACTAGATTTAATTCTCAATATATACAGCTTTTATTTGTATACAAATGGTCTTTGAATAGGTGTCCCTGTGCAGCACACCAATACCCCTGTAGTCAGTCCTGAGAAAGAGGACTTCATTCACATCAGTCCGGAAATCACGACAGTAAATCCAGGGGAGATAACCACTCAGGTGCAGATTCTTTGACTTTATTGGTAAAATGTAGTTGGCTTGATTAAAACTTTCAAATACCGATGATGTTGTTAAAATCTTAATTTGAATTGGAAAAAACGAAGTCAAAATATAATAATTTAATAATAGCATGGAAACTAATAAAAATAAGAATTTGAGAATGAGCCAAGATGTTCCGGAAGGAATAGCGTTTTAGGCGTTATCGACGATGTATGTTATATTATTTTTTTGTGTATCCAAGTAAGTAATGTAACATTCTAAAATGAGAACTTGGTAAACACCACGAAATATCGATACATAGAAGCGTAGAAGGCATCTAATTTCACAGATGTGTTATTCCCCAATAAAATCATAATCCAAAGTCTGTTTCACAGTTAAATTCCAATGATCGCAGATATATTTTACTTATTGCTTCTAAATGAGTTTGTAAAGGATAGAGTGGACATATAAGTAACCATTACATAAGTTGCAACTAAATACCTTCAAATACTACAAAACAGAAAATTTATGGCTTTGATTTCCAAAGTCAATTTTCGTCTTCCCTATTTATATGCAAGACTTTGGATATAAAGCTAAGAAAGTTGATATACCTGGTTGCTCCTTTGTTATTTACCTAGTGTTCCTTAGGTAACTTAGTTGGATAGACAAAAATTACGTGGCGGGTGTCGTCGATGAAGCAGAAATTGCCTACCCTTTCGGAACACCTTGTCTAATACTCCTTGTACTCTTCAGATGTCTCTTGTAATTTCTTTTGATTAACATGCCGGTATTTTCTTTTGTTGTTATTGAGACAAAACTGAATAGGATTTAAGATTCTATGATTTTAATGATCCTGTTAGATTGCAAATACCTAAGTCCTTCGTGTCATTCTTGTGGTTATCTTCTGTCTAAAGCTATAATTTCATAAATGATGTAATATTATGATTTGCAATGTTGAAATATAACTCCCTGAAAAATTTATGACATTATATTTCGTATAATTTTATATATATCTATATGACTTCATATGTCATTTTCCCGATTAACATAGCAGTTGTATAATAAAAGGATAAATCATTGCAAATATTAAATTTCTTTTTCAGCCTAGTCCAATTATTCCATACTCAGACTGTGGAGTCACAAAAGGATGCTTCTTTGACTGTGTCAGCAATGAAAGCTGTACGTTCCAAGTAACCTGGCAGGAAACTGGAGATTTCATAGACTTTACAATGTCACAGAATATTAGTGATGTAGACAATATATGGATAGCTCTCGGTATATCGGATGATACCAAAATGGTAAGGACAAGTGTTTTCGTAACAGATCATCGAAACGGGTATGAATTTTCAATATATGGTGAGGAAGCACTGTTGCATTTCACTCTGTTTATTGTTCGAATTTAGATTTTTGTGAAAACGTTATTATCATATTAATTTGCCCTCAATTGGTAGCTGAAAACAGGACAATTTTATACCTAAAAAGCTGCTACATTTACCAAAGTTTTCATTCGTAGAGATAAATTATGCATATTTTCAATTTGAAAAGAAATACGACTGGTCAACCAAGAATTTAAATCAATGATAACAACCCCTCTGTTGAATCTAGTAACAACTATCTAACTGTATTAGTTGTAAAGTATCAGTAACAGATGCATGTGAACAGAAAGACAAGAGAATCGGTAAAACCGATGGATTTTCCTAAATACACGTTAGTTCCAAAATGACTAATTTTGACAAACTTTAAGTATGAAAAATAACGAAGGACAATGACTTGTTGGTTCTTGTATCTTGCCTTCTCCTTATCGAGATCTATCTATCAATGAAGTTCACTGTAGATACCTGATATAGTTTTTGTGACATGCACCACACAAAAGTATAACGGACAGACGGGCGAACGGACGGACGGGAAAAGTGGCGATTATATGCTCTTCCTTCGTGGACTATAAAAACATGTGTTAGATCATATGACCAGAGATTCTGCGCACGCACCATCAATTAAAGAGATCCATCAAAGATCCACAAAACCCTGTTTCTAATTAAGTTCAGCAGACTGGAAACATTTCTGCACAAGAAATTGGTTGGTTTTGTTTTCATAATACTTATATGTTTTTTCGGTCTTACACAGAAAGACACCAGTGTCGTTATGTGTAAGATGACAAATGGCAGTATCTCAGTGGAACTTGGCTACAATCCTGGCTATTCGTACAACAAGATAACAACGGTATGTCTTTTTATTATACTATATTTCATACAGTTAATTGCCATATTTTCAGTATACATAAAAAAAGTAATATCTTGTTAATTAAAATCTAAAATGAACACACTCTGAAGAACACATAAAGAAAATACATAGTATATGAACAAATTTAGACCAATACATGAGGTAACAACTTTTTACCCTCAGAACACCAGCGACCTGATACATACTGGGGGATCAGCGGTAGACGGAGTCTTCACGTGTAATTTCCAACGCAGAAAGGCAATCACCGACTTCAACAATACATTCTCATTAACCGAAAAGCGTTACCTTATTGTAGCTAATGGCATTTTATCATCCGGTAAGTCTTCGGTGATTTATATACATATTCATTGTTTTTGTACTCCTTTTATTGAATAACTATTCTACATACTAGATTTAATTCTCAATATATACAGCTTTTATTTGTATACAAATGGTCTTTGAATAGGTGTCCCTGTGCAGCACACCAATACCCCTGTAGTCAGTCCTGAGAAAGAGGACTTCATTCACATCAGTCCGGAAATCACGACAGTAAATCCAGGGGAGATAACCACTCAGGTGCAGATTCTTTGACTTTATCGGTAAAATGTAGTTGGCTTGATTAAAACCTTCAAATACCGATGATGTTGTTAAAATCTTAATTTGAATTGGAAAAAACGAAGTCAAAATATAATAATTTAATAATAGCATGGAAACTAATAAAAATAAGAATTTGAGAATGAGCCAAGATGTTCCGGAAGGAATAGCGTTTTAGGCGTTATCGACGATGTATGTTATATTATTTTTTTGTGTATCCAAGTAAGTAATGTAACATTCTAAAATGAGAACTTGGTAAACACCACGAAATATCGATACATAGAAGCGTAGAAGGCATCTAATTTCACAGATGTGTTATTCCCCAATAAAATCATAATCCAAAGTCTGTTTCACAGTTAAATTCCAATGATCGCAGATATATTTTACTTATTGCTTCTAAATGAGTTTGTAAAGGATAGAGTGGACATATAAGTAGCCATTACATAAGTTGCAACTAAATACCTTCAAATACTACAAAACAGAAAATTTATGGCTTTGATTTCCAAAGTCAATTTTCGTCTTCCCTACTTTATATGCAAGACTTTGGATATAAAGCTAAGAAAGTTGATATACCTGGTTGCTCCTTTGTTATTTACCTAGTTTTCATTAGGTAACTTACTTGGATAGACAAAAATTACGTGGTGGGTGTCGTCGATGAAGCAGAAATTGCCTACCCTTTCGGAACACCTTGTCTAATACTCCTTGTACTTTTCAGATGTCTCTTGTAATTTCTTTTGATTAACATAGCGGTATTTTCTTTTGTTGTTATTGAGACAAAACCGAATAGGATTTAAGATTCTTTGATTTTAATGATACTGTTAGATTGCAAATACCTAAGTCCTTCATGTCATTCTTGTGGTTATCTTCTGTCTAAAGCTATAATTTCATAAATGATGTAATATTATGATTTGCAATGTTGAAATATAACTCCCTGAAAAATTTATGACATTATATTTCGTATAATTTTATATATATCTATATGACTTCATATGTCATTTTCCCGATTAACATAGCAGTTGTATAATAAAAGGATAAATCATTGCAAATATTAAATTTCTTTTTCAGCCTAGTCCAATTATCCCCTCCTCAGACTGTGGAGTCACAAAAGGATGCTTCTTTGACTGTGTCAGCAATGACAGCTGTACGTTCCAAGTGACCTGGCAGGAAACTGGAGATTTCATAGACTTTACAATGTCACAGAATATTAGTGATGTAGACAATATATGGATAGCTCTCGGTATATCGGATGATACCAAAATGGTAAGGACAAGTGTTTTCGTAACAGATCATCGAAACGGGTATGAATTTTCAATATATGGTGAGGAAGCACTGTTGCATTTCACTCTGTTTATTGTTCGAATTTAGATTTTTGTGAAAACGTTATTATCATATTAATTTGCCCTCAATTGGTAGCTGAAAACAGGACAATTTTATACCTAAAAAAGCTGCTACATTTACCAAAGTTTTCATTCGTAGAGATAAATTATGCATATTTTCAATTTGAAAAGAAATACGACTGGTCAACCAAGAATTTAAATCAATGATAACAACCCCTCTGTTGAATCTAGTAACAACTATCTAACTGTATTAGTTGTAAAGTATCAGTAACAGATGCATGTGAACAGAAAAACAAGAGAATCGGTAAAACCGATGGATTTTCCTAAATACACGTTAGTTCCAAAATGACTAATTTTGACAAACTTTAAGTATGAAAAATAACGAAGGACAATGACTTGTTGGTTCTTGTATCTTGCCTTCTCCTTATCGAGATCTATCTATCAATGAAGTTCACTGTAGATACCTGATATAGTTTTTGTGACATGCACCACACAAAAGTATAACGGACAGACGGGCGAACGGACGGACGGGAAAAGTGGCGATTTATGCTCTTCCTTCGGGGAGTATAAAAAAACAGGTGTTAGATCATATGACCAGAGATTCTGCGAGCGCACCATCAATTAAAGAGATCCATCAAAGATCCACAAAACCCTGTTCTAATTAAGTTCAGCAGACTGGAAACATTTCTGCACAAGAAATTGGTTGGTTTTGTTTTCATAATACTTATATGTTTTTTCGGTCTTACACAGAAAGACACCAGTGTCGTTATGTGTAAGATGACAAATGGCAGTATCTCAGTGGAACTTGGCTACAATCCTGGTTATTCGTACAACAAGATAACAACGGTAAGTCTTTTTATTATATTATATTTCATAGTTAATTGCCATATTTTCAGTATACATAAAAAAGTAATATCTTGTTAATTAAAATCTAAAATGAACACACTCTGAAGAACACATAAAGAAAATACATAGTAGTTGAACAAATTTAGACCAATGTACCAGGTAACAACTTTTTACCCTCAGAACACCAGCGACCTGATACATACTGGGGGATCAGCGGTAGACGGAGTCTTCACGTGTAATTTCCAACGCAGAAAGGCAATCACCGACTTCAACAATACATTCTCATTAACCGAAAAGCGTTACCTTATTGTAGCTAATGGCATTTTATCATCCGGTAAGTCTTCGGTGATTTATATACATATTCATTGTTTTTGTACTTCTTTTATTGAATAACTATTCTACATACTAGATTTAATTCTCAATATATACAGCTTTTATTTGTATACAAATGGTCTTTGAATACATATGTAGGTGTCCCTGTGCAGCACACCAATACCCCTGTAGTCAGTCCTGAGAAAGAGGACTTCATTCACATCAGTCCGGAAATCACGACAGTAAATCCAGGAGAGATAACCACCCAGGTACAGAGTTTGGGCATGTTTCTCTGACTTGTTAATGGAAGGACATTGATTGATATATAGAATGACATATAGAATGTTATTTAGCTGAAATCAGTTTCAACACGAGGTAGAAAGCAGATGTATAGAACATTCTAAATATCAATAACAGTAGAATTCACCATAATGCAAATTTACTACATAAACCTTTTCTGTGTCTTCGAAAAGATGATACGCGGAGAGTCCTCATTTTTGAAGCATTTGTCAGTTTGATATCAGGAGAAGCAAAATCAGTTTAGTCAAGTATCTTCGTTTTATGATAAATTATAAACATATTAGAAAATTATTTTTGTCGTAGCCGGGCCCTCTCAACCCCGATTGCGGAGTTACCAAAGGATGCTTTTATAATTGTGTCAGTAAGGACAGCTGTGCGTTCCAAGTGACCTGGCAGGAGGATGGAGATTTCATAGACTTTACAATGTCACAGAATATTAGTGATGTAGACAACACATGGATAGCTCTCGGTATATCGGATGATACCCAAATGGTAAGGAAAAACCTTTTATTCGAAATTGTATTGTAGCTGGAAGATTGATTTCTGAAATAAATAAACTTTACAGAAGATTGATATACGGCAACTTGGGAGCAAATCAATTCTTTCAATTTCACAAATGATTGTTTGGTAAAAAATCTTGTTACACGTACACAATAGTGTTTAAGATCGACAAGCAATTCATAGTTAATCTATAACTCTGTCTAATATAAATATTTATATCATCAGGGTAGAAGCCACCAGACATCATGCTCGTTAATTTAGTTTTGAGAGCACGATTTCGTTTGCTTGTTCTCCTGCTGTAATTTATATCTGATTATCTCGATATATGTTTTATTTCGCATCTTAAAACCCCATATGCCTATTGAATTACTTGTTTTATATGTTACAGAAAGATACCAGTGTCATAATGTGTAAGATGGACAATGGTAACTTTTCAGTAGAGCTCGGCTACAATCCCGATAACTATTACAACACTGTAGCCACGGTACGCATATTATCTTGAAACATTATAAAGCGTTTAAACTGCAGATGTAGAAGTTTGGTAAACATAAAATAACCTTTTAGATACTAAACAAGTCACACAAAAATTACATTAAATTTATATATATCTTACAAATAACGCAATAGAGCCTATCTAGAGAAATGAAGATAACACAGTGAACCTGACATGATAATAGGATATTTAAATTGTTTGTTTTATAGAACACAAGCGACCTTATACATACTGGCGGATCATATGAAAATGGCATGTTCACATGTAATTTCCAACGCCGAATTACTATCACCGACTTTAATAATACGTTCTCATTGACCGAGAAACACTACCTGATTGTAGCTAATGGACTTTTAGCATCTGGTAAGATATATGAATAAGGAAAGTACAATGTTAGTTAAAAAATGCATATATGATAACTTTTTTGGTGCTTACTTCCATATTCGGTTAAGAAGAATAACAAAACAGTTTGTAAGTATTTCAAAGATCTTCGAAAGCAAAATAAATATTGCTCATGGATTTTAGATAGCTTAGTACGTTCTAAATTCCGAAATTTTGTTTTATCCGATTGTCATCATATGTTTGACCGATCCAGTATAGCATTTTTCAAGTTCCGTTGCCTTGGCTGCATTTCCATCTATGGAGAGAAAGCTATAGACAGTTTCAGTCATATACATGTAATATAATAGACAACGGGTAATTAGAGATAGACGGTAGATCTTCACAGATTTAGAGACTTGGAATGCAGGAATCGCGGTGGAAGACGACCGGTAGATATTAGCAAATAGGAGGGAAATAAATTTTCATGCATGTAAAATGAAAGATGTACATATTGTAATTATCAAGGAATCTAAGTTTCAAGACAGGATATTATATTGGCAGGCATTCCCCAGCAGCATACATCTATACCCGTAGTAAGCCGTACTAAAGAGGATTTTATAAATATCGTCCCTGATACTACTCCGGTAAACCCAGGGGAGTTAACCACCCAGGTAAACAGTTAAACAATTGAAAAGATTTTTAAAATGTACATAAGCATTGCACACCACTGTTGAAAAATCACTTTATCATTGTAGGCCGGGTTTGTGATTTGTCTAAATCTCAAAGTGCGATTATTTTTAGTATTACATTTTGTAAGAGCTTAAAAAGTGAACGGCATTTTCCATCAGAACTAATAACACTGAAATTATTTGAGATAGGTACGTTTTAACTCATCCAGTGTCAGTGATATAACTTTTTTTCACTTAGAGTGGGACGTCCATAGTGAAGGACCCACAGTGTGGTAAAACTAAAGGCTGCTTTTCGGACTGTAATAGTCAGGGACAGTCTTGTACGTGTTTGGTCACGTGGCAAAACGAGCCCAAAACCAAAACCATACGATTTGAAATCGAATCTGTTGTAACTCCTGGCGTGGATGACTGGGTGGCAATTGCGTTATCACCGAATGCAAAAATGGTAATACACTATTGTTTGTTTGGCAGGTCTTTTCATTATCGATGTACAATGTATGGTTTTATAAGAATTTGAATTAGCACATTAAGTTTGGTTCTTAAAGCGATATCTGCAAAGAAACAAAAGAAACCATGATTGTTGTACCAATGATTTTACGTCTGTAAATATTTGTTACACTTTTTGATATAACATTTAATGTCGTAGAATTTAAGTTTTATTTTATGATTGAGACTAATCGTAGTTACTCCAAAACATTTCATGTTTAATTACAGGCAAAGTCTAGTGTTATGATGTGTATAGAGAAGAATAACGTCGTTACTACAGAACTTGGATACAATACGAAAGATCCAAACTACGTACCGCTCACTAACGTAAAAACCTTCTTCTACCTCAATTGAAATGTGTTTGATCAGTAGAATCCAATTGAATTGTTTATTCACTGAGCTGCATCTACATCTAGAAAATATCTTGAATTGAATTTGGCCATTGAATAACCTAAAGAAAATAAGCATTGTCAATAAGATATATGTTTCTGTTTCATAAAAATTAAACGAATATTTTAATTTAGAATATGAATACAAGAAGATAAAAGTGAGAAGGAAACTTATACTTTTTGTATCTTATAAAACCGCTAATAAAAGAAATTATTTCATTTTCATTAAAAAGCAAAACAATTGGTCGTTATTTATCTTTGTACAGAAAACAGAGTACCTATCGGATATGAGTGGCTCTCTGGACGGTAACATAATGAGATGTACATTTCAAAGGGCAAATCGTCCCACAGACACCTTTAATGCTGACAGCAGTAAGATATTCGACCTCGATGAACAATGGTACCTTCTTTTTGCTCACGGGTTAGCGCCATCAGGTAAAACTATATCCGTGGTCATTTTCAATTTAAAGTAAAATAGTTTCAAAGCAGTATTAGCTTGTGTTAGAAATATGCCACTCAAAAATATTGGTTAATTACCATTCGTTAAGAACGTTTCAAGATTTATTACAAGTAGTTCAATTTATACACAAACATGTACATCAGAATCAATATCAATAACTTACAAACCTGCCGAATCAGACTTCCAAAGATTTGTCGAAGCCATTGAATTGTTCATTTTTCTGTTTTTTGTTTTTGTTTTTGTTTTACGGAAAGGTTCCTGCATCAACATCTAACCACGAAACTGGTGCAAATATGTCTCGATTATAATCTATAAAATAACCCATCACGTAATTTGTCTTTGCTACGATTGTGTGTTATCTTGTTCCGAATTATAATTATAATACAAACAATTACAAAAATATCGAAGTTTTTTCCTGATTTCATTTAACAAGCCACAAGATATAGCCAAAATAGTGTCCAAGTTCAGAATATACACATGTACTTGACGCTGTTCTAAGATTGTCTGATATATGATAATTGTGAACTTTATTTAATTATGAAGCAGCAGCACTTAGGACTTTTTCAGTCGCCTCAAAGTGTAGGCCCTTAACATTGCTGACGAGTCTTAGAAGGATGAAACAGCTCTATGATGCAGTTTAATTCATTGTTTGACTTTACTGTATCTCACTATAAATTTTGAAAAAAGGTGCTATTCACTTGTGTGTCTTTCGTTCAATATCATAAATATATTAATGATTCATATAAGATACTTTTATTTATCTGAACTGATTATATGTAAACTATACATCAAAATAGGAATTCCCGAAAGACACAAAAGCAAACCACTCACCAGTAACGGGAAGATAGATTTCCTTAAGACTGGAGATACTGGCATTGGAAAACAGAAATCTGGACTAGTTAAGTTACATGGTACGGTACAAGTTTTATTGTATTTACTTTGCTTTGAAATAGTGTTTTGTTAACAGAATATCATTACTGTTAACTTAAACTTATACAATGAAAAAACTAGTTGACATGCATGATATGAATTATACAAGTATGACAATGACTAATATGGTTTTGTAAGTGTATAAAAAATCGTACATTACAGAGACCTGAACGTGTAACTAACAAATACGACTTTAGATAGTTACAAAAAATGTCAAATTATAAATAACTATATCCTACAAAAGTGTTCTTCCATTACACTTTACAGGGTTCCTTATGATTCTGGCTTGGTTGATATTATCCACTTCCGGTATGTTAATTGCTAGGTATTTCAAGCCCATTCTTCACAAGAAAGTCATGGGAAAGCATCTATGGTTTCAGGTAAGTCATCACAATCCGGAAATACGTATACAGTGTATAAATAAATGAATGTTATTCTTAATAAAGAACAATTTTTCCAAGGTCAAATACATTTTCAAGGACGCTTTTTTTCTTTTTTTTCTCTTGCATAAGATGACCTTTCTCACTTTCTATTCTTTTCTTTTGGTCATTCATTCTATCTCTAATTCTGATACATTTAATATGAAAATGGATAATGTGATAAATAGTGAAGTCTCAATATAATATTATTATAGTATTTAGACACTGATATAGCATGACATTCTGAGGGAAGAAACCAATTTGCTCGCACGAACGTATGGCCATCACACGGAATATACTGTGACACCATTGTCCAGTCAAACAATATTAGTAACAGACTTTGATATGTAGCTGATCAACTTTGTTTTATGTCAAAACACAATATTTACCATTGCAAAGACTTAATTGCAGAACGTCAATCGCGTTTATCCTTAGACAATGTTCGATTAAAAAAAACACCCTAGCCAGTAAATAATATTTGCAACATTGTTATTTGAGAGGTACGTTTTATAGATGATGTAAAATTTAATATTCACGATTCATTCTTGACAATTTTTTTTTGCAGATTCACAGATCATTAATGTACACTGTGGTTATACTAACACTGATAGCTCTCATCGTTATTTTCGTCGAAGTAGGAGGATTTAGTAAGGTAAGTTCTTTTATCATAAAAAAATAAAACTTTTTCTTTGTTTTCAATATTTATCTTCTTTACTTCTATGTTCAAACCCTAGCTGTTCGCCAACTTCGTTTTTTGTATTTATGATCAAGCCCTAGCTTTGTATTTCCTTATGCATATCAAATCTTTACAAATAAAACCCTATGGAAAACAACTTTTATTCATAGAAATATCTTTACAACTCATGATATGTAAGATGTTAAGTTCGGATATCAACAATGATTCAATGCTGGTTTTATCACTGTTTTATCACTATTAATAAAACGCTATCACATTATTCCTGTAGAATTACAGTTTTAAATAGTATTGAAATTCATCAGATGATGCTGTAAATATAGTTGTGTATCATCATTATATTGTAAAAATTATCCGATGCCTAATTCAAAATGGTTCCCGGACTGGTTTTTAAACAAAAAAGAAAAAGACGGGAAACAATATAAGACAACAAATTACAGTCATAGATAACCGCATAATAAGTAATTCACAGTTAGACACTTGTAAGTGTTACATTTTTCAACACCAGAATGTGTTCCTTTGTATCACAGATTAGTGTTCCAGACGACATTGCATATGTCAAGCTCCATCCGGTACTCGGTCTTATTGTCGTGGGATTGATGCTTCTTAACGTAAGTTGTCCACGATTAAAATTCCAGTAAACATAATCTTTATCCGTCCTCTTCGATTCTCATTACCATAACAGGACGGTACATTATGACCAAGTGATATACGTTTACCTAAAGAAATTATTTTATTTCTAAACACGTTGATTTTTTTATTATCGCTTTCCTTTTTTCCAGCCAACATTGGCATTTTTCCGATGTGACCATGATCATCCTCGCCGTCCAGTGTTTAACTGGTTACATTGGGGCGTGGCATTTGTTGTGCAATTTATCGCAGGTAAATATCATTGCGTATAATTAATCGCACAGGCATTCTATTATTATGTGATATTTCAAAACAAAAGAAAAATATGCAATGAACGAATTTGAAACATGATTTTGAAACACAATATATTGCATATATTTTGTTGATATCATTATCCCAGCACATCGCCAATCGCCAGTCGTTTTAACATACCAAGAGAGTCGAATCACCAAACCATATCGCCATTACTTATTATTCTTTTGGTCTGAGCTGTCATGATAAAAACTTAAGGAATATCTCATGAGTCTACAATATACCTTTACAGATAACGGATGTGATATCCAATGAAATTTAGTAACCAATGTTCAGGTGAAATGTTTGTGGTGGTTGATTTGTTTTGGACTTTGTAAAACTGTGCAAGTTAATTTGAATATATTTCGTTCTTTTTTTCAACATTTACAAGGTTTTAATATTAGCTTCGGGTTTCACCTGGACAAAGTCAACATGCCAGTTAATCACTCTCTGATCGTAATGTATCTGTTCACGGGGACGTTTATTGGCATGTACATCGTTTTTGAGGTCACCAAATGCATTATGAAGCGAAACAAACGTAAGTGGAAGATTTTTTTTAAAAATGACATCTATTCTTATGTCTTTAACCGTGGATATCATCAGGATGATAAAAATAAAACTTTAACAAATTAAATTTTTAGGTTAATAAACCTTAAATTGTTTTAAGAGACAATTATGAATATGCTGAGTTATTCTAAACGAAGGATTTTTTTATTGAACCTCCTTGAACTGACCTTTCTATTCAGCAAACGTCCTTAAAGGGATAAAAGCTTAAAGTATATTGATGCATTTAATGAGTTCATTAGGAAAAGGGACGCAATTTTTTCGTGAAGAGAAAAACGTTACAACGGATAGATATGGAGGTGTTTATATTCTGTCATGAAGTTTTGCTGTACATGTTGAGGTTGTCACAATTTTACAATTTAAAATTGAAGAGAATTTATTTCAAGGTTTTACTTTATCAGTATATGAAGGTATTTAAATCAGGTGAATACTGTCTACATAGGATTTCATTATATCGAGTACAAATGTATACGTGGTTTTTCTGTTATTCAGCTACAGCAATGACCAGCAGTGAAATAGACGAATCTTCTGAGGATGTCAATTTAGTCAATGATGAGGAACCATTTCAGGTAAGTAATAAAAAACATAGATATGCGCGATTTGTCAATATTATCTTAACTATGTAATAAAGCTATATAATCATGTTCTTACTCTTGTTAATTCATTGAAGCGTAACATACTTTTTGATTTTTCATCTTTTTTTTTAATTATTGGACAATGTGAATCTTATTATATTTGTTATATTTTGGAACCAATGTCTTACTGGTGTATGATATCAATAAACTCGACTGACCGATGATAATTTCTTTACAGCAAAGGTGGACCAGTTTCAAGATTTTCCTCGGAGTTCACATTGTTGCTATGCTCTGCTACGGTATCACCCTAATGGCGTTTCTGTTGAATGGGTAATTCTGATGACCTCAGAGAGCTCTCGTGGGATAGTCTGCCCTGAGTGATAAAATAATTTTATATTTTTAGTTGTTGTAGACATGTGTGAGAATGACAATGTCTACTTCATCACACAGAAAAAAATACATAACCCGCGATTCAAATTTCTTTTTTACCAGGTAAAGATTTCGGCTTTTTTTTAAATGAAAACGATTTTTTAACTTATAAGTGAAACTAATTATGCAACGGTCATGCTCCGTTGGATGAGACATGGTTTGTATGAGGACAGGGTAATCGATATCAACTTTAAACACTTATTTTAATTGGTGTTCATTTAATTTTTCCTAGTTCCTTATCTTGTATTTTACTTTTTCTTTCACAAATGAAATAACGTTATTTTACATTGGAAGACGCCAATGAAGACACTGTAAGCATAATGATAGTTGGTCTTTGAGGCCTCTCCTAAAAACGTTAATATCTGTGCGCCGTTTAAATTGTTTGCAAAGCTAGGAACTACTGACCAATTCTGCCTCAGTCAATAGACAAGCACGTGTATAACTGCACAATGGTTATGTTGTTATTATAAATGATACATGAATCTGATTGGATATTATAAATGATACATGAATCTGATTGGATATTATGAATGATTCATGAGTTTGATTGGATATTATGAATGATACATGAATCTGATTGTAAGTTCGCATTTTGGGTTTGACATTGATTTGATTTTAAGCTGTGCGCTTTGTTATTTACCGTTTTTATAACAGTAATAAAAATACTTAATGCTTATACCATTTAACTCAAATAAACTGTAGCAATGTATTTTGTAAGTAATGCATGTCGAATTAGTGTAAAATGAATACTGAATTCTAGAGCACTTTGAACGCAGATTACAAACACGATTCGAGATCAAAACTTCAAACTTAGTTTCTAGTATATAATTATTTGCAAATCAGAGAAGTAAGCAAGTATGCTTACATTTTGAATGACAAAGAACTTGATGTAACACAAGGTCTATCATTCAACTATAGATACAATGGTATAAAACAGTATTATAAAAATATATTGCCATTTGGTTACATTAAAGAAACAAATAAACAATTTGATTGTTTTGATTGTTATTCAAATCTATTTAAGTCACTATAATTCCATTCAAATTGAGGTTTGAACTCGTATGTATACTCTCCGTCTTGAGTTCACATTTAGGAATAATTTACCAGGATTTTCATATATGCTTTAAATATATTTCCCTATATGTAAACATCATTTTCAAAACTTTATATTTCAAAATGAACTTAATATCGCCCTTTTAACTTATGTACGTCAGTTTTAGTAAGCCGACAGCGATTGAAATACACATATATATCAAGCAATATATAACTCCTTCACAATTGATAAATACAATTCTTCTTGTAATCTGATATAGTTTTGAAACGCAGAAGACGTTTACTCATCCGGAACCCCTGATCTTGTTATCCTTGTCTTTTCGGGAGTCTTCAACTAACCCTTTCTTTTATTTATATTTTCCCTAGTTTTATTGAATTTTGAGTTTGTATTATGATCATTTTGATATGTTGGTATTTTTTGTTTGTACCAATGGACGAGTGCTCCTGCTGGTGGTTGTCCTCAGCCACAATACTTATTTCATACAAAGCGAGGGTAGTGATTTGAACAATGAAAATTCGGACTCTGCGGCACAATTACAACCACGCAAAATCAAACTTACTTTTTTCATTTATTCTATCTGACACATTTCGAAATACGAAACAAAAAACTCCAGTTTATACTACTAGAAGCTGGAATGACCGCTTAGGACATTTGTCCAGTTCTGGATGAAGTAACACTAACGTCACGGCTTTATACATACCGGTTATTACAATGAATCTACTGGATCTACCGTCATGTTTGAAAATATAATGGATATTTTACAGAAACCGTTAGATGTCCATAATAATCGTACTACGTTATATTCGCTTTTCTCTCGGTGCTACGAAAAAAATCAAGTGGTCTCAACCTGTCCGTACAGCCTCTAACAACACACCAATTAATGAAAATTGTGTTTGCAAAAAAGGGTATGAGTCTTATTTACATCAACAATAGTTTACGCCAGAAGTCTGTTCAAGTTAACAATTCCACCATACTTTCAAACAGAAATACTCCTGTAATTTCCTAAAGTACTCCAAGCCCATTGCATCGAAACTTTTCAACTACAAACAAACGTTCCTGTAAGTGAATGTAGATGACCTAAGAGCTACTCCCCCATCAGCTTGTTCTTGTTCTACCTCTTCTTATAGCTATGGTCCATCTGGGCACATAGTAACTAGTGACATAAGCATTATCCAAAGAGTCCTAAATACCGTGGGACCCCGTCCGATGATTGCAATATGAGTTTCAAAATCCTAATGGATTCTGTTAATAACTGCCAGAAAATGGATTAAACGGAAAGACGCTACAATGAAAATAAAACACAGGTCAACGTTCCTCGATCTTTCTGTTCAATCCACACTTCAAGATTAAGATGACAGGTAGGTTATTGTGTCTGCAGATAGGGCGTCCAAAAATTAGTGTCTACAATTTTTGGTTTACATTTTCTGCACATGAAGATAACTAGGCTTGCTTGATAACGAAGAAAATTCAACATATACATTATGCATCCAAAGAAGAAGTACTGACTAATCATAATTCAGTATTACAACCACTAAGATTGTCCATTAATGATAAGTATACGGACTTCCTCCGTTTATGTCGGATTTCTAAACTTCACATGAATCCACATAAACAAAAACTACTAACCACCATTCTTAGCACTATCATATCTAGTTTACAGTCTTATTGTGATACTGTTTACTCCAGAACTCTTATTAATAGTATGTGGATTTTAAATAGTTCCTGAGAGCTTTTGACCAATATTCAACAGTCTCTTCTAAAAACACATTTGTTCTATGAACATTAATCCTTCCCACTTTGTATACCACCATACCCCATTCTTAACTGATTTCCTCAAAGCCGTATGACAAACGTAATGATTTCAACTATGGTGGTTATGTGTCTCACCTGATTCGATATTTAAAGTCATGTTCCCTCTCATTATAACGGTTTTCTAAACAGATATCGTCAAGTGAGGGACAAACTTATTAAACATTATTTCAAAAGATGCAAATTAATTAAAATTACGATGAAGTTTTATGATCATCATGGAGATCTCATTGTGAAATATTCTTTTTTTTTGTGCAAAATGAAGCTAGACGTGTTTGATGCTCGTAAGTTTGTTTGATGGTTCCGTTGTTGTATACTGTGTTCTCAGGAGTTTCCGTCTAAATCTATCTCTCGTTCATGTTTTGTCTTAGATGGTGTTGACATCTTGGTATTTTCTTTTGGTATACGAATTCTCAAAGACCCTTGATCTCTAAAATACAACGCATACGAAATAGAACTTGATTAAATCTTTTATTACTCCACGTGAGAATTTAAAGTCAGTTTGTAGGAGCAGTTTTTACACGTTACACATAAAATTATCCCGGTAAATTTAACAACAGTCATAATGCATACATTTGTAAAATAATTCGATACTATGTCATATAAAAAATGCTTCTAATATATACTCAACAAAAATAAAAGAGAAAGGCTAGCAAGTTTTCATCGCGAATACCTGTAAACGATTGAAAAAATAAAATCCATGGAGCTTATTAAAATCATTCAAGCATGAAATGTTTATACCAATGAAAGCATGCCGCGGCTTTCGCAAATACAGAAGGAAGGGGTTGTTGGCATGATTCAGGCTGGAGAGTCTCGGCGTCGAGTGGCACAACATTATAGTTGCAGTGTTCAGCCAAGTTAACAGTCGGTAAGTCGTTTGAATAAAATTGTGTCAACATCCGATCGAAGTATAGATGTATTATCGTAATAAGAGACAACTTTATGCTAATACCATCACATTTAATGTAGACCTAACCCTTACTCTGTACATATAAGGCCTTTCACATTATGTTCGTGGATAGAAAAGATACAGATGACGTGATAAATTGGAACTCAGAATGCCTGTATATTAAGTAGACGTCCCTTTAATATATGCCAATTTGCTTATAAAACACTTTTCATAACAAGTTTGTCCCCTTAAATGCAATACATGTGTAAGCACATGTCTGTTCTGCAGTAAGCACATATGAGAATGTTGGAGGTGATCGCAGAAGATGAAATGTCTACAATTGGCGTGGAAGTTTCAAAATACCTTACGATAGTATTCCGGAGAGTCAAATCGCGTGCCGAGAACAGTCGCGCGGAAGAAGAAGAATGCATAAGAATATTCTATACCCGTGGGTAGAGTATCAATACTTTTTATCCTTAACCTGAATGATAAATAAAATATAATGTTCGATACTCAGCGGCTTGTTCATAATATCATGATTTCCATAGTAAATATTGACAGCTGACAAAAGCTTCTGCAGAGGTAACTCGATGAAAAATATGTGTTTGGTGTGGCACATATATCGAAATCTTAGAGGCTCGTCAGTGGACTAGAAAATATTTCTTTATTCTCACTCTTCATCCTCCTTACTTTTCTTTATACTTGCCTTGTTTCATATGCGTTGCGTTTTGCGTATTGTGCACAGGAACACGGTCGTCCATGGTTTCTTTCGCTCTTACATATTTTTTTTCAATTTCACTTAATGTAAAATTCATTTTCATATAAATAAAACCAGGATTTATTTTAGTTTTGACATCAAACATTATTTCATTCTTCATTTTCGTTAATCAGATAACGGATGAAACTAGCGAAAGTGTTCCTGTCCTCTGAAAATAATGGCGACGTGTATAACAATATATGTAAGAAACCGCTCTGGTTTCCCCATTGCCATCACATAACGAGAAACCATTGGCATGTTAAGAAATTATCCGTATGATTCGAACACATGCAATGACACATGGCATCTCAGTGTAAGCTGATAAATATATCTATAAAAATACAGTGAAAAAATTAAAAGTGCTTGATTATACTGAGTAAATATAAATATCAATTCATGATATAAGGTAAGATTTAGTATGATCCGTGAGAGTTGTACATATGATTGTAAATAAATATATATATAAATCGTGCATATAAACAAGCAAATGATTCAACAAAAGGGGGTAAAAGCAGGAGTGCTACTTTCGGTAATTCTTTAATTAGGAGTGAATGTTTTTTGTGTTTTCTGCTACGTAACAGGTAATAAGATCTTTATTGAATAAAGTCAAAAACAGAGTTAGTTAATCACCATCACAGAATGTATGGTTGGTCAATAATTATCATAAGGAATCCATTCTTACTCAATTGTGACACTAGATGGCCCTGGTCATGGCACCAAGATATATAATTATAAAAAAGTTTATCACAAGTGACAAAAAGGAAGGCCTATCTATGAATGGCCAGAATTTATTCTCTAGTCGATAGATATATCTATGTCACTCGTATCGATTTCTGAACTTAAGAAGAGTTGTTTTACTTATATTCATATCTATGTATATGATAAAATTGATATTGAATACCCTAAAAACTAAACAAGAAAAACGGCCAAACAAAAACATTTCCTGAATCCTGAAAACAAGACTGATTTTATTACATGAATAAAGCTACAATTGCGTTCTCTCAAAAAAATAAGCTGTGTCTTTTTTTTAGTTTTCAGGGTGTAAACGTTATATAATAGTTATATGCTTCTATTCTGACCGTATAAAATGTGACCAGTAAATGTATCTATTATATTAGCGTACTTAAAGAACCATGCATCTTATGCTGATAAAATATCTGGGAACGAGTGAAATACCGTGCATTATGATATACATGGTGTTAGATGAATATAAGACAGCAATTTATATAGTAATATATAAATATTGGTCATGATATATATGAAGTTGTTGTGCGCACATATCGAATATCATATAAACCTGATAAAGTTGAATAAATGTTATATTATATAAATTAAGCACAGATATACATTAGAGGCATGCAATCATTCTATATTGATTGTGATCAACAAATAAATGCACATGTTATAGGTATGATTGATAAAATGATAAGCTGCTGTATCAGTATTGCTTATTTAAGGATGATTAAACAGGCGCGTGTATTACCTATAAATGGTGATTCTTTATGATAGAATTAACTTTGCTAATTGAATGCATAATACAGTTTGATTTCGTAATATATAATTATAAATTCGATATATGAATATTAAATAAGTAATGGTTGACCAAAATATTGTATGCACAAATATACCTTGCATATTATATATTATTGAAACTCATAATCCGCGTAAGTATGGGCAGAGGTTACGAATTTAGATAGTATAGCTTATATTGCATCTATATTTTTCATGATGATTGAATACAAGGTAACAATGTAATGAATGAACAATACACCACTTGATGATGAGTATATACATTATGAATATGACAATGACAATATAAATTGGAGTAATTCATCATATGATGAATATGAGAGGCATATATATATAATTGATGATAAGTAACTAAGTGGTTGAGGCTTATATATACAAATAAATGAATATACAATGTGTGCGATGAGTATATATTACGTGGAGTGTATAGAGGCGTATATATACAAATAAATGAGTATACAATGTGTGCGATGAATGAATATAGCGTGGTGTATAGAGGCGTATATATATACAAACGAATTAGTATACAATGTGTATGATTATTGAATATAGCGTGGTGTATCGAGGCGTGTATATATATAAATGAATTAGTATACAATGTGTATGATTATTGAATATAGCGTGGTGTATCGAGGCGTGTATATATATAAATGAATTAGTATACAATGTGTATGATTATTGAATATAGCATGGTGTATAGAGGCGTATATATACACAAATGAATGAATATACAATGTGCACGATTATTGAATATAACAATGAAGCTAACTGACGATGCAGATGTATTGAGTATTTTTGAACCTGTAAACGTTACCTTTGCATATTAAGACGAAACCGATGTATCACATGATTATATTGGCGAGATCTAGTACATATAGACGTACACACATTAGTATGGGATGATGTAAGATATGTTCTGTAAAACACGTTATTTTTGTGTTTTTTGCTAATAGTTAACATCATGAATGATGATGATACTGCCAAATAATAGTTAATATATACGGAATGTTTTTTATGGAAAAATTGAAATTAAGTCTCATCGCAAATTATTTATAAAAGAAATTATATAATGCTATGACTAATGTTTAATGTTTAATATCTTTATCTGAAATCAAAACTCAATCTATCATATTACAGCCAACAGAATGATATGAGATCGCGGCTCCAGCAGATAATGTGATATAAAACTGTGACTCATGTGTAAAATGCTGTCGTATTTATATTACAGTATAGAAAGTAAACACATGACAACGCATTTTCCCCCTAAAAATTATAAAGGTATGACTCAAGTGAAATGATCTTGCTCTTTGTATTTGAATTTAAGTATTCAAATTATGTCTTAAAATGCCACAGAATGAAAACCAAATGTACCATAGCTTTATCCCTATTCACGAATGACCTACAGTGAAGTGTCTAGCTCTGAGCATGCCCCTTCTTGATTTCTTTTCAGTCATGCCATCCTGCTAATCTTGGACACGTTAGAAATTAAGAAAAACAGTAATCTCGTTTAATCCAGAAATATTGCTGATGCAGCTACACTGCAGTCGTCCCCGTTTTCTCGTTAAGTGCACGAGGGGACGGACGGTGGTTGTCCTTTGTCTGAGTTATAACATGTTGCAGGTGTCTCACATCCTCGCCTTCATTTACAGCGATCTGTTTACCAACTGTCTTATTACTGAAAAGTATGTTCCGATTGTATAAAGACATCTGTTCATCTAATAATGCAGGTGATTCTCTGAGCTTAGAGTCATATCCTATTTGAATGTCTGGACTTGGTTCGTTTCGTTTCCGTTTCCGTTTGCTTGGTGGTGTGTAATCTTGCGTTTCTTCCTGCGCATTTTCTTTATTTTGATTATTATCAGATATGTCACTTTCCACGGTTAAAACAGTTTGGGGGACAGTTTCATTATCCTGGTTGTTGTTGGCCTCTCTGTCTGTCGTGACCGGATGAACTGACACAGAATGGCCATGTTGTGACATATGTTGTATGGATCCATCTGGGTCTTCACATCCATCTGGAGGTTGTCGTGTACACATCCCAACAAACATTGACAAAACACATTGTTTTTCACTTTGCCTACAACATAAGATGGGAATTTATTTTAAGGAAACCACTAGCTCTAAAGATCTGTTGTCTATCTTCTTGTACTATAAAGTCTCCGTTGTGAGATGTTATTAAAGGAGACAAATTAGTTGAAATTCATTGTAGCCATCAAAATAAAACGCACACAATGATACAGGGGGAAACAAACGTCCATTGATTTTTAGAGTCATTAAAACAGAAAATTTGTCTCGTTTTACAATGATCACATCTTTAATGACAGTACGGAAAGAGTTTTAGCAGCCAAATACGAGACCAATGTTTAAAATGTTCATTTCCCGAATATTTTCGTGCAATACTGATTTTTCTTTATGAACATCTATAGTCTCGTCATCGGAGGCCAGAAGGGTAACAGAAAATATTATTTTGTAATCATATGATGGGACAAAATACCACACACTTACCATTGGTACTTCCTCAGCATGAAGATAACACTTAGGATGGCTGCCAGAAGTAGCGCGACCAGAGCAGCTGATCCAAGGATGATGGTGAGATCTGTAGGACACATAAGAGTCAATGAAAGATAATTGAAAAAAAGTGACAAAATCATCACTGCCTACCTTTTATCTTAGCATTATCACACAGAAAATTTAGACACAATAACACACTTTGTTTTCTTTTGATTTATGAAATATCTGTTTTCTGTATCCTTAATATTTGAAAAGAAAAGGGACAGAGAACGTTAAAACACAACACAAATCAACTAAAGACATGGGACAATAGGAATTTTTTTGAGGTTATATACGAGGAAAAATTACCATATGAGTTCACAAATGCAAATGACTCTCATATTGTTTTGAGAAAAAATGTGAGAAGACATTGCTACATTATAAATAAAGAAATAACCTTCTCTGTCTTCATTTTCTGGGAGCGTCGATTCTTTCTTCGGACGTAAAGGATCGGTGATCGCTGTAACTGGTGGGAACATATCAATCTGTGTGGATGTAGTATTGGGTAACGTCGAAGTGTGTAAGGGATTTGTACTAAGGTCGTCGGGGTCGACGTAAACTGCACAATCCGATTTATAGGCTGCAAAGATAATATAACGTTAAAATTGTTCATAACATCGTAGAAAACATGTAATTAGTTTATTTATTACCAAGATCAAATTATCAAGTATACTCCGAAATAAAATCGAGGTCAATGTGATATGAATTATCAACTATCACCATTCGTTAAACACTAAATATTACTTCCATTAAACGTCATGATGCTTTTGGCTAAATTCACATAATTCCGTGAAACCAAGTGTCTTCTGCTTCATCGACAACACTCATATTGTAGATTTAGGACAAGTAATGCGACGTTCTCAAAATGAGAACCAGCAAGAAAATAGCCCAACATGGATACTAATACGCTTCAATTACAGATGAATTTGGACACGATACTGATTATGAAATAAAATACAACAAAGAATTAACAATGCATATAAGAAATGTTGTCTTCTGTTTCTAAATAGAGTTAGAACAATTAACATTGAATGGTATGGTTTCGATTTTTAATGCATAATATGGTATAATATAGGATTATTAATTTAAAACTTTAACCACAAACATGAATAATATGATCAAAGTTTACCCAATAGGTTTTATTCAACTATTTCTGCTGTGACATGTCACTGAGTCAGTATTTAAATTTGATCCTTAGCTAAACGAAAAAATGTCTTCGGTTTTAATATCCTAAACACTTTGGATTGCAAGATAATGTGATGTGAGTGAGATGGAATACAACCGTATTTTTCAAAATAAGTACGTGTCTCTTGAGTAAGGAACAATAATATAGTTACGAGTTCACGCACCTGGAATACAGTCGTATATGAGCCTAAAGAACGAGACGTAATGACCGCACTTGGCCGAGAATACCCTCCATATGGTGACGTCACACTGCCGTCGTCCACAGCACTCGTCGTCCAAATTGATGTTCTCTATACAATCGCCCACTGTGTACATACAGTACTTCAGCTGGTTTAAACCGTATATAGCTTCATTAATCCGGATCACCTTGTCGTCCGAGCACCGCACGTGTAATGTTTTCTTGCTGTCATTAACATTTTCGTCCGTGCACTCGAAAATGCGTCCGTCTGAAGAAAAAAATAAGATATTTAAATAAGTATTTTCGATACACTTTCGATAGAAATAATAAGAGAAAATACTTTCGACTATTAATTGTCGCGATGGAAAAATCATAAGAATATGTTATTGATAACTGTAATTCATTACTCAATAGTAACAATGTAAATTTTGATTATGAGAAAAACATTAATATATGAAACATGTTTCAGTTGATTATACATTATCATAAAAAGGCAATTTGTATCTACATCGTTTATCTATAATTGTTTGAAGGAATCCTGCCAATTATAAAACTGCATTATGATGATAACAACAACAAGTACTCGTATCTTAAAATAACTAGGTGAACTTTAAAAATCTGAAAATCTTCAATGTACAGTCATTGATTAGCAAAATACTAATTAGATTATAAAACTGTAAAGGTAAAAATGCTCTTTATATTCCAGAAAACCAAGCACTCTTTTTACTTACTACAATATTATTATGATTTTTTATATAAAAGCGTCAGTTATTTCATTTTCATAATTTCAAGGCAAAACGTCTGATTTACTCATCTTGAAAACCGTAAATATCATAGATAAAAAAAGGGGTTGTACGCCATGTAGATTCTAAAAATGTTGTTGGTTTGATGATGTTTCAATGTTTACATTCATCACGTACATTGCTAGCAGATTTGAAATGTATATTTGCATGTTGTTTTTGCTTTATTTTCAGACAGAGGGGTCAAAGGTGATGTTTTATTCCAACACCGTCGAACAATCTTAGTTGAAGATAATCATTTAATTTGCCTATAACGGCTCGGTCTTCGGTATACATATTCAAACTAGACTAAACTATCACTAGACACTCAAATCAATAGTTATGCATCCTTCTAAAACTTAATTTTAAATATTCATATCTAAAATGTTTTCATCTGTTATTTATTATCATATAATCACTCGCCTCGGATACGCTAGCTAGCGTGTCGAGGGACACCGTCATCTGCTTTGTCAGGTGTTCTCACCTGTCGTCTGCCGTTACTAATCACCTGTGTAAACAGGAATGGAGCTAGTAGCTACCAGGTATCACCTTGGTGTTATGTCTGGGCATTAGAAAGAAATAACTTTAGAAACATATAACTGATGTTATTTCCATTTCATTTATCTTAAGTGTTGTAAAAAATATACAAATAGGACCATGCTGTGTCACCCGTTTAATTGGCATTGTTTTCCTTTCCCTTCAAAACAAGGAGAAGAAGAAGGGAAAAACAAGAATACATTACTCCAAAGATATCTGACGGGTTATTTTCCAATCAACACATAAAAACATTCCCATGTTCATGAAGTGTTATCTCCTCAGGGCTCTCGTATCCGGCAATATAAAAAAGTAATAAAACACTTGAAATGTCACTGAAAAGTCACGACATCAGCACCTTTGTGTTTAGTATGTCAAGTACCTGGAGGGTAAAAAACTGTGTCAGATATTGAAAATCAAACAAGAATCTGTGTTCAGTATCCCATTGTTCAACAAATATAATGGCAGTTAAATATATCGAGGAGAACTATCTTGTTCTTTGGTGAGGTCAGAAGTTCGGATTGGTGGTGAAAATATGCAGCACCTGCCGGCTTTATTTGTGAAAACCTCACTAACTGGAAAATTTGTGCTGAGCGTTTTTTCATTTTACGTTGTACGTCCGACAGATAACAAGGGTCATTACTTTATCGAAACAATTAATGAATGCATTCCTATATGAGGTCAAAATTCCTTCCCTTTCTACAAAACATCAATAAAGTGTTTACCGATGTCAAGACTGGTCAAAAGAACAGGTCAGTGATAAATGATCAGAGTAGAAAGTGAGAATGAATGGCGACAATCTCAACAGTTGATGGCAAGTGACACTCAAAGTTTCCTTTATAAAACTCTGTCAAGTATTTTAGGTAATACAAAATACGCCATCGTTAAAATGGTAATATTTAGAAGGAAAACTTTATACATGTCATGAGACAATTTCTCTGTTGGTCGTGTATTTTTTACAGTTAGAAATTTATTTCTGACTACACTGTGTTAAGGTTTTTAACATCCAACTAACCAGCAATGTGAAGATTATGAACAAGTAAGAAATCCCAAAATAAACAACAACATCAACAACAGCAATAACAATCATCATCATCATCATCATCATCATCATCATCATCATCATCATCATCATCATCATCAAAACAACATCATCATCATCATCATCATCATCATCATCATCATCATCAAAAACATATCATCCATAAACATCAAAACATCATCATCATCATCATCATCATCATCATAATCATCATCAACAGCAATAACAATTATCATCATCATCATCATCATCATCATCATCATCATCAACAACAACAACCATCATCATCATCATCATCATCATCATCATCATCATCATCATCAAAAACAACAATCATCATCATCATCATCATCATCATCATAATCATCATCAACAGCAATAACAATTATCATCATCATCATCATCATCATCATCATCATCATCATCATCATCATCATCATCATCAACAGCAATAACAATTATCATCATCATCATCATCATCATCATCATCATCATCATCATCATCATCATCATCATTATCATCATCATCATCATCATCATCATCATTATCATCATCATCATCATCATCATCATCATCATCATCATCATCATCATCATCATCATCATCATGTCAATAAACAACCAACAAATAGACCTTTTACGGCGACTTCCCATTCAAACATTTTACCCGAGATATACATTGTATTAGGAATATATTTTAGCCTAAAGCTTTCAGTTATGCGAATTATTGTACAAATGAAAAATACCATATAATACAAATTTTAGGCAAGATACAGTAGAGCCAAACAATGGATTAAACTAAATATTAATATATCGATATCATCAATAGTGGGATACAAATACATATCGTATACAAATATAATGTTTATACCAAAGTGATTGTTACTATGCATCATCAGTTAATTTCATACTTTATCGTACCTTAAGTCGTTTCTTAGGTAGGGACATTTTCTCTTTAATCAATTAAACACAATGCTGTGAACAAGTTTATGAGACGGAGCCTTTTTCTTGGTATTGTTTTCGTTTTCTTTGCCTTAATCATCACACACGTATATGTGTAGGTATGTGGAAAGTGAAATATGGCAATACAATTATAAGTATGATAGCAAAAGATAATGATTTTGAATAACCACTTAGCATAAGTTGTTGAATTATCAATCATCTACTGATTTAAAAGTGTTGGATTATCACAACTATAATCATTTACATACACTTCTCCAAAGTTATTCATGGTTTCTTCAAGTGTGTGTCTATTAGACAATTTTTGAGATTGTAGGTGGTAGACACTGCTGGTGAATCTTTAATCCTCGACGTTTGGCGTAACGTGCATTCCATGTTTAAATTCAGTCGTATGGTTCAACATATATACATGTACTTATGGGGCTAGTGTAACTCCACATCTAGATTTTGAGACTTTCAATTTTCCTCAGTCGCCAACTAGATTTAATCCCCTAGCCGAGAAGGACAGAGCAGCAGTATGAAGAAATTTAATCCAGTGTTTGGCTTTATGTATCTTAAATTAGTTTTTACGTTTTCTGTTCCCTCGTGTGTCTGTTGTACTTTCTTAGTCATGAATGGCAATTCATCACAATGTTTTAGATACAAATCATCGAGTCTAAATGCAAAAGAACGGTATCAGATCACTGCCTTATGCAAAACAAGTTTCCAAATAATAACATCAGAACAAGATATTTTAAAAGAAATAAATATGTTTACTGATAACTAGGTATAAATTCTATAAACAAGGTCTGCATAATTTCTAAGCTTTAGTGTGTACGCCTACCTAGACTTGCTACCAAACAAAATAATCGTTCGACAACTTAAAAATAGCAATACTTTTGAATTATCACAACAATACCAGCAGGGTCCGACGTCAAGGACATGTAAGTTTTCACGATACTTTAACTTTGATCTTGCAAGTATTTCAATTTTTGGACATATCAATAACGTTCATGTAAATATTTAATTAGTTGCATTCCTCGGTAACATGTCTAAAACTAATTATTCACTCTGAATTGTTATGGAATCCTTTCTTAAATCAGCACGAAAATTGTGTGATAAAAATACGGCCAATTACACAAAATTGTTCCATAATATTGAAATATTGTGCAAAATGGTTACCTTTGAAATTAACCGCTTATTATTCTGAAATTGCTCGAAAATCGTTAAAAATATGTTGATAAAAGAGTGTATTTTAACATTATTTCAATGTAACTTACTGCTAAACGTTTAGAATTGTTGTTCAAATGTTACAGTTAACCAGTGCATAGCTAAAAAATCAAATTGTTGCCATTGAATAAAATGAGAGTTAAAGGCAATATCAACTCTCAAAATACATCAATCTGACCTGTCTTAACAAACTTATAGCTGTGAAATGATAAAGAATGTTCTTAATTTTGTTTACTTTATGTATGAAAATTTCCCTACCAACTGGTTATATCTTCTCAGCCTTCGAACCACCGAGTTCTAATGAATGATTCATGTAACATTATTGTACCAGACCTTTCAGTGTGAATAGTAAGGCAGATTATGTCAGTTTGCCTTATAGAAGCAAATTATAATGAGAACTTTTGTCAGCGAAGACATCATAAAAACAAAGACTTCTCTTATACCACAATATGAACATTACTGCAACGTAATGATAAAATTTCTTTACACTATATACACAGTTTGTCTGGACATATAACGTATGAAGATTACCTAGTAATCGGCAACATTTATAATACAGTACAGTGGGTTTCCTACATCAATACACATTTTACTTAAACAACAACAACACGAACCTGATCGAACAAAGTAACGTTGATGCATAAAGGTAAATTTCAAATAAGAATAAATGCATGTAGGAAATGATTATTCGTAATGGGAAAACATTGAGAGTGCTAGTCAATGGAGAATCAGATCCTGAATTGTAAGCCTAGATAAAGCGTAACCGTACATAGTATATTGTATATATGAAAAGCAGTATGTGTCCCATGTACACTTAGCACTGCTTTCTTATCCACTTCTTCAATATAAACTTAAATTCAGTCAACTTATGAGTTATGGGTCTTTATTACGGTTAATATCCAATAAAAATACATATGCTATTCACAAGTGTTTTCAATTTTATTTGTAATGCTTATATTTTCATCTTTCATGTCAAAAATAATTCATTATTCTGTATCTAGCACTGTTGATGTGTTTTTTAAAATGAAAATGAGATCCTGATAAGGAATAATATGAATTAAATTATATATTTAAATCGACACAATTTGTCAATTACAAATATCTATGATCACGCGAATATTGAACGTATCATTTCATCCCTAATTAATTTCTATTGAATATCGCATACCAAGAATTTAAAATCAATTCATTATGCAAGATTTTGCGATGACAGGTCTACAAAATACATTATCATATTTCATATCTGCTATATAGAGGATAAAAATCTGATACCATATTTATCTGTTTGAACGGAAAACTTACCTTGACAGTGACTGAGGGTTATAAAGAGTGATACTGCTAGTAGTCGACTGATAATGTAGAACATCATCCCAAATCCATAATTCCTGATTGACTACGATTTAGATCACTGAGCAATAAATATTCCGGACACTACTGACACCACCGCTGGACAATGGTCAAGACGGATACATTGTGGTCAAGTCACCGCGGACGTCTGTTAGATCAACCGAAACGTGGGTGAAGGGAGCAAAACTAAGTCGGGAAATATTTGGCTGGGTTACGGGAGTCTTTGTGTGGTTTAAACGTTCGGGTGAGGAAATTTTGTAACAGACCAGCTGTCTAACTTTATAATAGCCTGCGCCGGCGTAGGCCCGCCTTTGTGAGAACATCTGCCGGGCCAGGGAGCAATCACAGCACTAGCACTGTCGTCTGCTGTCGAATGACACCTTGTCTTGATTAAAGGCACACTCACCACGCGTGTTCAATGTATATGTATTTAGTTTCATAATGTGTGTAAATATCTTTCAATGCGTAATGCTATTGAAAGATTTACAAAAGACACAAAGAGTGAATATTAGATTTTATTTAAAAAAATATATTTTGGGGGGTATTATGAATTATTTATATATACTTTTAAAAAATCTTACAACAAAAATAGTTAATCGAAATTGATCAAATATTGATAATACACAGAATGTATTTGTAATACCCTGTATGATCATTATGAACGCGAACTGAGCGTTGTTGAAATCAATGCTTTCAATTCTAGTTGAATTAATGTTTTTATGTTCAATAAAATTCAAATGTAGATTTTGATTCATAAACTTAACAGATTATCCTCTTCATAAATCAATAATATTCTTTCAAGTGCATTCAAAATCGCTTTAAATGAAAATATCGACTTATTCTGACAAATCATACTTCCTCACCAGCCAGCTACACTCAAGGAACGAGTCGCTTTAACGGGGCTTTCAATGATGCCTACTCGTAACATATAGTACCTGTAGCTGTCGTAGCAAAACCTAAATTTATAAACAACACCTGTTCTACATTAAGTCATGTTTATGACATCTATTATATCTACATCATTTATATTTATAGTTTTTAGATTTTGCATTATGCTTTCACTGGATATTGACGAAATGTGCACTCGTTTTGTATAGAATTAAATTCAAATGTCGACAAATCAGTATATTATACTAGTCTTCATCTAACCACATTTGAAAATACATAGGCTTGGACTTCGTCATTGAATTCCGTCATATAAAACAAACATTTAATTGACTTAAAATCGTTAAGCGTCGCAGTCACCCGACACGTGTGAGTTCGCTAGTCACGCGTTTGTTTGACACATGAAGTGTGGTTAAATATTTTTATCATCACTGGACCGTGGCTTCCCCGTTCTTAGACACGTGTACCTGGCGAAGTGCGACCAGTCAGTCTTAATGGAAACAGACCATTTATCTTACCTCGTTACAGATACAAGAAATAGTAAAAGATTAGATAACAAAGAACCAGTTACCAGGTTAAATATTTGGCATAAACAGGATATATGCATATACTAAAAATGAGAAATGGACATCATCAATTTTCGCCCACCACATAAATTTAATTTTTCAAGAAATATCCATCATCAGCATATTTAAATATATTATATATATATATATATAGAAAATAAAAACAAAACAAATTTCATTATATTATCATCACTTTGCACGTTTTGTTAAAGTAATTTTAAAAGTGCTAGTACCAATACCCATTTTTGTATATGTATATGTGATATATGTAATCTAATGCCCGGATGTACCGGTAATTACAAGGAGGGTATACAGTAAACGTAAATATTTAAGCGATATATTGTCGTTTCGTTTTAAGCATTACATTACAGTAATGAGTTAACCCTTAACACAAGATTTAAAATTAGCTGATGACATCATTTAATAACGGATTCCATTAAAACAGTTAACATACAAAAAAAATCATATTTCGTTTGTTGAATTATGTTGTCATGTAAATTAAAAAAAATAAACGAAAAAAAGCACACACAAAAAACAAAAACAACAACAATAAAAAATCTAAACATTATGATAATCCAAACTGAAATCCAGTCAAACTAGGACAAAATATGAACAAAAGAAAGATTGACACGGAAGTTCCCGAAATAGTATAGGGAGAATAACGCCATGTGTTCAGAAAGAGTAAGCGTCTTCTGCATCAACGACGTCACCTGCTATGTAAATCTTGGCCAATCCAAGTAAGTGATGTCACGTTTTCAAATGAGAATAAGATGTACCACAAAGGCAAATCAGAGGCGAAGTACAATAAGGCATACAAACAGATTGATGACGAGAGGGGCAGCATAAAAATGGCTGATCACGAACACCATGTTGACCTGTTTTATAATACAATTGCTATACAATTAATACAAACGCACCCTCAGACTTTTTGATGTGTTAATTTTGAAGACAGAGATGAAAATTTCTCTTAATTACTAAGTTTTTCACTCGGTTACTTTATTAGTCTGAAAACACCAGGTTTCGTAAGTAGTACGGATTTCTAAATTTTTGTCTTACATCAAAACAACTAAATGAAGCTCATTTTCTATCTTTCTTTCATTAAAGAGTACAATTTGTTACCTCGATATATGTTTCTATATCTACCACATTAAATGTTTAATCTATGAGAAGGTGGCCTGGAGCGAGCAATTTGTTTTCAGACATTGTCGAACGCAAGGTTTACACAAATAATATATGTAGTAATTATCATTAATCACATTCCAAACTCATATTCAATGAAACTATGACAAAATATGAACAAAAGAAAGATTTACATGGAAAATCCTGAAAAAGAATGAAGATATTAAGGCTAGATATTCAGGAAGAGTAAATGGCCGACAATATGAGGATATCAGAATAGAATTGTTATATAAGCAATATTTCCTAACATTTCGTGTAAATGTTTATCATTAAATATATGTTTAATAACATAATCTATCATAACAGTCTGAGTAGTAGTGGAGACCTGTTTTTTGAGTAGATCTTCCAAGAAGTTTCAACAAAATATCCCCATACCTGTGGGACCAAAGCAATGTAAGACAAGAATTTAACAACTAAGACTCGCAACTTTTATTTTTAAATGTAAAAGGATTTAGGAAAACTATTTACAATTGCTTTGTTAGTGAGTGAATATTCAATGCCATATTTTTGCGTATTATACATATGTAACATAGCTTATTGTGACGTAAGATACCGAAATGACGTCACAATTCCATGGTGAAGTAACAACGGAGACCATCGTTATAGGCTACTTTAACTTCAAGTTTGACGTATAATTATCCGCCCGTTTTCTACAATATTTGCTTTAAAATCGATCATGTGACATAAAGGATGTTAAATTCGTTTCCATTTGATTTGTGATTTGTGAAACTCGTCACGAAGTTTCGCTTAAATGAAAATTTCTCGTTTCACAAATTTACATATGAAATGGAAACTCAAGTAAGATATATATTTCACTTAATATCATGTATATATACATAGCACATTCAGAATTATAATTTGTTACCGTACAAAAGTAACGCTGATATGTAAGAAATTAATGGTGGGTGACTTTAAGTGAAGTTGTCGTGATAAAGACGTTGTTTATTTTTAAGCGACAATGTTATGAGTTACCTATAGAGATGCAAAGAAACAGGTGTATTCAGCTTAATTAATATTTCAGCGAAAACGGCAGGTGCAGTGATTATATCCGCCTCGGGCTGCTGACTTATGTCGCGCCACGTGTATTAGAACGAATATATCAAACCTGTCGCGTGGCGCACTTCAAGGGGGATGTTTCTTAATGATTCGAATAAAGCACCTGAATGGGACAAGATGTTCTATCCTTTTTATGAATTGCCTAAACATCACATCACACACCAACAAGGAAATAATAGGACATCTTTTATTGGAGTGCGTTCACTCCGCACAGATATATCGTTAAGTCTTATGTGTTGGTTGGTCACTGTGACTCTCTTTCTTAAATATCATGTCGTGACATCTTATATCAAATATGTTTAAACAATAAGAAAACTCGCGGCTTAAACTTGATAGCCATAAATAAGGATGACATAGGATAACACACAGGACAAAGGGGGGATCTGACGGGAGACCCGTGTTTTCTGAGTATTGAGTGAATGATGCTCCAGTGGTGCGTTACTTTGCACCATCTTGACTGGAGCCAGTCGATACGGCATATCACAACTCATATATAATGCAGTTATCATCGCTACGCACGTTCCTTATAAGTGACTGAAAATAACGCTGAAAATAAATAGTAGTGGAAATCGAACCAAATATGTATAAGCATATGAGATATACACTGTGTGGTACCAAACAATGATGATGAGGAGGCGGTGGAGGAGGAGGAGGAGTTGGTGATGGTGGTGGTGGTGGTGGTGAAGGAGGAGAGGAGGAAGAGGGACGTATAATGGGCATTACATGCATGTCACAATTATCTAAACAAAATTCATGCAAACATCAACATTAAGTTTCTGTTTCCCTTTCTTTAATACTAGTTCGCACATAGGTAACATAATATTACCTTTCAATGTTTACATTTTTTTCACGCCATGGGAAGATGTGTCATTTAAATTTCTAAACGAAAGATACTATGATGATTTTGACAAAAAACACTTAGGCATATGATGAGATTGTTGTGCTGATTAAATTCTTGATTAATGTTAAAGGTATCTAAATTTGTTTTCAATACCTCTGAACAGATCAATAATGCATCTATTGGAACCACGTGAACAAAATGTGTCTCTCTTATCGAAAAGTTTATCAGAACAGGTAACCAAATCCCTCTCATGTCCTTTAATTTCAGTTTTGGTATATGGTATAGATCGGAATGCCATTTATGAATTTCATTAATTTAAAAACAAAGAATTTTTTTTCTTCGTTATAATCAACAATATGAAACTCGGTCTGTTTACTGAGGTGGTTCCATATCCAAATACAGTAGCATCATTTTCAAAAATGGTGCAGACTGCTGAAGTAGAAAATGGATTATATAGGTTCAGGTTGATAATTCTTGTTTGTTTCTGAAAGTGTTATGTCCTCTCAACAGTCAGAGTTGTAGTTGGTGAGATGTGTAGGAGGCATCAACACAACAAAGCACACTGAACTATAGAGAAGACTGGAAAGAAATTAAGAAAAATATATGATTCCAAGTGATGCAACAGGGGTAGCGGATCTGTTTTGATCCTCTCAGGGAAAAGACGATTCTGACCTCATAATTAGTCATATACGGCAGGAGCTGTCTTTCCCGATTGCATTGAAAACGGCTTATATTAGGTTTAAAGTTCACTATTGTGTTTTCATTTGATAATATTTGTTCCCCTTTCCGTTTTGAAGTTTTCCAGTATGTTTCTTATTTGAGAACATGAAAATATTTTACTTGGCCTAGATTTCGATAGAGAGTGACGTTTTCCCTTATTTTCATTTTTATTTTGCCAACTTTCCTCCAGTTTATTTTGCTTTTAAGTACAAGTCGTGTTCTTAGTCACTTATTTGTTTTAATTGGCTAAATACCTTGTTAATGTAATCTTATTTCTTATTTGAAAAAAAAACCTGTTTGTTTGCAGATTGTTTTCTTTCGAGCTCGTTGCATTTTTAGAATTTAATAACGTGCATGATTGCTTTCACTTCACTTCCAGTGGTTCATAAAATATCAAATTTTAATATGTATGCAGCTAAGATAACGTAATTTTGGCTTAGTTTAAAAGACCCACTTGCACAATATAATTTTGATACTAAATATTTAATATTTCACAAGAGTAGGTAACTTTAGCCATTGTGACTTTTTTCTGTTACATTTGTATTGTATTCCATATATGACTCATCATGCATGTTTGATAAAAAAAAATAACAAAGTTTGAGAAAATTAATAATTAAATTTACGATTTTTATCATACGTTAGAGGATCAAATAGGGGTGGTGTGTACATCTGTGAGAATCAAACGTCAAATACAGATTGAATGCTATACGATAAGACGACCATGGAATTTCCCCTCGAGTGTTATATTACCATTCTTTATTTTCTTAAATGCATGTCCGAGCGCACTCAATATTTTAAACATAGTGGTTTCATTGTAAAGGGAATTAAAATTCCGTTCACAATTTCCTGGGGTTTCAATGGCAAGAATTATGTAATCAAGCATATTATCTGACACTTTGGGTGTGTAGACTTGACTGACGTAATCGTAAAATACTACTATGTCATCAATGATATAATTTTCTTCTGTGCTTAGTCATCTGGTATATGACAATATGTCAGTTGATAGCGAGTCTTCTTATCAGAAAATGTTCATATTTCATTGGTTTTTTTAAGAGGACAAATCTAAACATTTCATATAGCCACAGATGTGTAAGCTGCGTTTGTGAAACGAGTACAATGGATAATTTTGAGTCTCATTCATCATTTTCATGTAGAATAGAATCATCGTCCTGCTCATGTGGTTTAAAAGACACCGCCTCTCACTTACAAAGTAACAAAAATAACACTCAAACTTGGTTTTTTTTCAGGACGTGGCGTCTGGTTCTATCCTTGCAGGTAGACACAATAGGCAAAAAGTTTACCCCAGTGCCAAAACACAACGTTACACTTCAAAAACAGCATTTATACAGAAAAGGAGTTGAATTGATATATAACTTCATTCTGAATACCAACTGACGGACAGGATTATATCCGTCTCATTTCTAATGGATTCCGACATTGCCGCTTTACTTGTTGAACAATCGTGTCATTATCAAAATATCCTGAATTATCAAACCATTGTCCAAGCTATGTCGATTGGATAGGATGCGGATTTGCAGGAAAGTTGAAGTTCTCTTGATCCACCATGAACACCATGGGCATTTGTTTCTCTAAAGAGATTTTTTGTGGCATTACATAACAAACAGAAAGAACATTTTATAACGATTTAGTTTTTTCGGAGACGGGACCGGCGATACAAATATTTTTAAGTACGTGTACATATAGTTTTGGGCATATGCCGTGGACGACGCGACGCTGAAATCAAATTGAAAATATGAAATGTTATACACCTTTCTTTCTTGACCAACTTGTAGTAAATGACACTAAAATTATCGATGAACTGACAGTAAACACTTTTAATGTGAAAACAACTGGGACTCTGTAAAATAATAAAACATTTTAAACAAGGTTCATCTTTCACATTTCCTGAAATAGATATAAACTACACTACATAATCTTTAATATCGTTGATCTCAGTTTTAATCGAAAACAACAAATACTGACATGTCAAAAGAGAAACTAGGGCAAAGTATATAAATAGGAAAGAAAAATATTTACACTGAGACTCCTGAAAAGTACAAGGAGAATAAGACCACGAAAATCATTGTTAATCAATGTGAGTAATGTCACGTTCCCAAATAAGAACAAGGTAAACAATAACTTAACCATCAGGCACACGTAAATCTTCACACAAGGTTAATCAATCATTATACCGACCGTAAAACTTTGCCATAATCTCCATCAACAGCATCTTTTGAAACCCCGTGTTGTGAGTTTGTCAGTTGTCAATATCTGGCACGAAAATTATTACATCGGGAACACGTCCTTGAATGTCGAATTAACTACGGAATGGATTTCGCTAGGGAAACTGAAATCCTCACATTTATTATACAGCTTGATGGAAGCTGCCACTGTTGTTTTCATCGAAGGAAAAGATGAAAAAAAAAGATCCGATGTAGAAGAGTCAGCCATGATCTTGATTTCCAGTTCTGGTGAGTATTTACAATAGATTTAGTTAATAATTCTCTCGGTTTTTTTTTAAAGAAAATACGTCATCAATATATCTGAAAGACGTACTGAAGAACTTTGCAATGACCTTTGACCGAATTTGATAAACAAAACAGAAACAAGACAGCAACATCAGGGGCACAGTTCCCATAGGTTTGCCGATTCAACAAAACGTATGTTGGAAGATCTTTAAACCCAACTCGACTATGACACATTGTAAACCAGAAATTTGGTCGTTTTTGTGACTTCATCCCTCGTATATTTTTCTACTTTGATTTGAACGTAATCTGAACGAAAGAAGCTTCAGTATAGTTCACCACCAAATATTTATATAACCGTCATACCCCCTTTCAAAAAAAATAAAATAAAACAAAACTGATAAAGCAGGAGACCAAAAGCTTTCCATCATTTTAGAATGGTGTATGGTATTATACAGTACAGAATGGAAAACTCCAACATTCTTGTTGAAGAAATGTTTTTAGAAGGTGGTATTGAAGATTCTCCAAAAACCTTTTGGCTGTCTGTAATATCCACATACTGTAAACGTATATAATGTAATGGTTATTTGAGTGTATCGATTTTCACGCAAAATTTGCCTAGAGTGACAATGCACTGAAATCAGATTGCGTCAAAATATGTACATTTACAGTACCATTAATTTCACTTCTTAAAAGAGGCCTTGTCCAGGTTGTTCACATGTTAATAAATCCTGCAAAAACAAACATTTTGAAAACTGAAAAGAAATTCTGTTTGTCCTGTATTTTTTAAATTCCTTATCATAAAAAATGCATCTCATTGACCTATGATTTGTTTTTGTTTTGTTCTGTTTTGTTTTTGTTTTTTTTTTAGTGAAAATAGCATGTTTCTGTTTGCTATTAAGCTGGAACATCTACTGAATACACAATAATATTTGTGGTCTTATTTTCACAATTCTGTTTGTTTGGGATTTCCTTGTCAGTAAAAATAACATCCTACTGTTTGCTATTAAGGAAAATGGTTTAATCCATTTCTAAAAACAGCTTGAACATGTACTGAATACTAATGAAAAATGCATGAAAAACAAATAATAAAGTAACAATGGCAAATATTTTGTTTTTATTTATTTTTATTTGTATAACTATCACAGAAAAATACTGCACAAGATCAATACATGTGTCCATTGTGTATGTTCATCATACATTATATCACGTAGCAAAATCTAGTCACTAAAATTGTAAATATATAGCAAGTTTTTCACTACACTTACCGAATAATTGAACTTGGTACATATTTTAATAATCATGCAAAAAATATCAAAATGAAGTCCTTCAAATATCTTACCTATACTTTGTATGTATGAATAATGACAATTATGATATCATTTTAAAATTGGTCCTTCAAAATATGAATACAAATTGCAAATTAACATTTTTTTTTTTGTTAACTGACTACAAGTTTACAGGTAAGATGAAATAACTTAAATCAAATTCTAGCTTTCATGATGAATTCAAATAAAATGAAATTGAAATAAGCCTTAATTATCTCACAGCTTTTGTTTTCACTTTGGGTTTCAGTTCAAAACGCACAGAGACTTTACATGAGACGGTAACTGTGCTGTCAGTTAGTCGCTGTTGGACTGTCTTTGTATTCTCAATATCTGTGGGTGTGTCCTGAGAACCTTGCCACTCCTTCGTCTCCTCTTCTGCTATACTGATTGGTTGGCCAACATTTTGATGTACAAACTTTGCCATTTCCTGGGCTTTCAATTTAGCATTGTGAATAGCTAATAGACTTGCTTGTTGTCTGTAAATACAAAAATACAGAAATGTCAGCATTTAGTGTCAAATCAGATTTACATGTACCTTCTAAAGAAGAACTGTTGCAGTACAGCATAGCTCATCTTCCAAATGTTTTTTCGATAGCAAATTAAAAAGATGCTGTTTGTCATTTATTTCTTGTCTGCTGGTTATCCCTTTTTTTAAACATACTTTATCAATGGACTTTGTTTGTCAAGGTACCTGTTCATTTTGAAATGCGGACCACATAAACATTAAAGGCGTGGATATTCCAGGAAATGGAAGTAAGATGTGATAAGGTCATTGTAGGACCAAGATGAACTATAATGGACCTTTTTTTTTATGTATAATTTCAACTGAAATCCATCAGTCATATTCTAAAAATGGACCATTAAACCCCATAGGAAACCTGATTCCAAATATTGTTATTGTAATATTAAACTGATGTGATGCACTTAGGTCTTCCACCAAAATCATAACATTTAAAACCAATGCTGACACCCTGGTGTTAACATAAGCTCTTCATCTTCTTCGAAGACGTGGGTTAAACATTATATGAAGAATTATAAAATATGATCTACAAGACATCCATGATACTCTCATTTATTACTTGTGAATTAAGCGAATATTACTGAAACAATAGGGGGAACTCATATCTACATACATAACTTATATATTAGCATGGTAATTTAACATGTTTGGGATACCCTTATAAAGTCAAGACAGTCAATCAGTTGAGTGCAAGCTAGATATTTTTTTTTATTGTTTCCCTGGTATGTTTTCATTTAACAAGCTTAATAACTGCTGAAACTGTCAAAATTGAAAGCCTTAAAAATACATCTAAAAATAATTATTTTTCTGCAAAAGTTATTCATAATTGAACCAATGGATAATTAATTTAATTTAGGTAAAAACAAATCCCTTTAGATTCAAAATTATGTTTAAATGTAGAGTGTGTTATGTAGTAAATCATGATAACATCTCCACAAGTTGACATCTAACATCAAGTTGTATACCTGAGATTTTGCATGGTCGTAGATGCATGATAGAATTCTGGAAGGCACACTGTAACTGTCTCGTCAAGCTTCTCTACCAAAAGGTTAGCCACTGTTTGACATTTATGTTGATCTGCAAAAATAGCTTGAATCTCTGCTTCCATAGAAAATAACCCTTCGACTCTTCTGATCGTTTTGTACATTTTTATATCTGACTCCTGAAAATACAAAAAATGTCTTATAACAATGCTTTCATGCATATGTGTATCTAAAAGATACATAAACTTATTGAATTAAATCTGTAGTTAGAAACAGATATTTGATGTGCTTTTAATGAAAATGAATTAAAAATCATACCAAATAAATACCTTCCATTTACATCAAATTATTTGACTCAAGAATCTCTGTGTGTTATACCTTTGAACAAGTTGGGAATGTCTTTAGATTTGCAAGGATACACTGAAGTATACAACATCACACTGCAGAGGAATTTTTATCTTCTGAACTCACGACACAGTTGTGTAAGGGTTGATCTTGAAAAGCTTCTTGAAAATAACCCAATACAATGGTATTTTCTCATTCATTCTAAAAATTGATTCACTCAACTGTGCACAATTTCACTCCGCAGTGTATGGTTTTAATGAATTGTTAACATATTTACCAACATGTATATTTCTACAACTGTGTGTTATGACATAAGTCGTGGCCGGTTTATTGTAAACATGCCATTTCGTGAGGTTAATACTTTAAACTTATTATACACCAATGTTTCAGGATTCAGAAAAATCCTCTGTGATGAGGACCTGCAGTGCATCCTCGCAAATCCAAGGATATCCCCAACCTGTTGAAAGTTACATTAACTAAGAAGAGATGTTTATATGATAAGTGTTGAATTGTTTTGGGGTATACCTTTATCGAATGGTTATACAGAGTTTGTAGTACGTAGTCCACGCGTCTTGTGACGCTGGTTTTCACTTCCTCGACATTTTCTTTCTGTGAATTTATCCGCAGTGTCAACTTGCATCTGTCAGGTGGCAAACTCACTTCTCCCATGGCATTCACTGTAATGTATCGATCTGATACCTTGACATTTGTTAATGGAGTGATATTCTCAAAATCTATATCTTCCATTTTCAATTGTTTCCGTGGAGGACTCGATACAGATGCAAACACCTGAGAAGGTTTGAATCCCGCCATCTGTGTGTTGTATTCAGTGAAGCCCCGTCAACGTCTTCTGCGTCCAGACATGTTTACATCGCTTAGGTAAAAGAAAATTAATTTCCAGTTCAGAGTTATTTAGGTCTTACTAGGAGCAACATTTATTGGAATGTCCAACTTTCAATAGATGATATATCAACAGCTATCTTTTTGACAAATTACTCCTCACTTTTAACAGTTTCAATTTCTATGATTTTTACTGATGATATAAGCGGTGATCGGAAGTGGGATTCCCCCAAGGTGTTTTTTATTCGCCTCGTCCTATCAGTCATATTTCGCCGATATGGCGTCCAAATATGGGTCCAGACCAACGGGTACTGATGGGAGTGACTTCTGGCACCGTGAGAGTGTAGCATGGCAGTACAAACACAGGTATATGATGTTATTTAATTGCTTCAACTGTTTCCTTACTGTAATTGCAATGTAAACTTAGGTGACTCGGGACACGTTGCTTTGGCAGGTAGAGCTATATATATCTATTATCTAGTGTTCTTACGAAGACCAATATCAAGCAATATTACTTCATTCCTTCAACACCAGTGCTTTTATCGAAGTCTTATTTATTAATGTTATTGACATGTTATGAAATTTGCAGCTGGTGAACTTTGTACATTTGTTTACATTTGTGAAAACGCTCTCCGTGCAGGCTATGTTTTGCCTGTTGTCAGTGTCAGTACAGGAGCAAACGGTCGATAGCGTGTGTACGGTTGTGTGTATATATATAATATATGCTAACTGAGAAAACCCAGCAGACGTGTATCGACGCTGCACCAAGAACAGAATAACCGGCGCATCAGAGAACAGTCACAGTAGAAGTGTGTAACGGGAGTTTACATGTGTGTATAGTTACAGCGCTTGACCTGGACTCTGTTGTATCTTAGGTCAGAGGTAATAATTTGTTTCATGTGGATCTGAAGCAAACCTATTCCGACATGGCTCTTTTACTGGACCATATGTAAGTTGATGTTACCAAAATTATTTGCACTCAATAAAAGGGTTGTTCAACGGACTAACATATCTACTTTAGCAAGGAATGGTGGGGAAGTTAGGTGGAAGGCATCAGACCACACAAAAAGTTAAATTATAAAATGTATTGTATTGTAGACATGTAGAAAGCAAGTGTTAAAGCGTGTTTAGGAATTTTATGGATTTTGATAAGAACTTTGTAAAAAGGTACAGCAAATAAATTTGAGTTAAATAGCTTTGCTGTGTACTGTTTGTATACCATTTTTCTCTTAATGAATGTAACAAAATAAGTTGAATGTGCCAACTTTTGTGACAAATTTTATCAAATTTGTGATATTTTCAAAACAAAACTTAAAAGATGTATGTTTGACTTATTTTAAAACTGATATATAAACCTATATTGTATACTAATTTCAACGAAAAAATATAAAGAAAATCACTTTGAAATCAATGGCATGAAAAAACTGCATAATTTTCCTTTTGACACATATAATTTTTATGATCAGTTATTGTGCTTCAATCCTCATTAGTCAACAAAATGGTACTGGTCACTCAAGCCAGTTGTTGCTAAGTATAGTGTCCACACCAAACTGTTCAAATCAGTTGTTTAGCCCATTTTAATGTATGGTGATGGTATGTGGGGCTTCTGAAAACATTGATTTACACAGAATCTAGCAATAAGTATTTATTTGGCTCTCAAGAAGAGGAAATTCGTGGAAGTCATTAGTAAAAAATCTAAACTAAACATGTCAAATATTCTACACTATAACGGTACTACATTAAGTGAAAAAATGTAGAGCATCAATATTGTAATCAATGTAGTTGATGCAGATATGCATGGTATAGTAACCTCTTAAGAGACCGACCAAGGAAATGAACTTTGTATTTGAATACTATTTAAGTCTGATAACTGAATTCTACGATACATCATGCATTTCACATCATTACAGAAGCCATTTATCCCAAATATGACTCGGGTGTCTACCTCTTATGATAGAGATTGGCAAATTTGTAAATTTACACAAGAACCAGAGATTGACCATTTTGTAAAAATATTATAGAAAACGAAATATATTTTCTCTGTGAATGCCCTCTATATATAATGAAATTCAATTTCAGTCATTTAAAAAACCTGATCATTATGCAACAAATTTGATCGTTTTTTTTTTAACTCCTACATCTTTTATTTTGATAACCATGAACTTTTAACTTGTAAGCCGAATCCAGCTGGACATCATTATGTTTGACAATATTTTTATCTTTTTATTGTAAATTATGATATGTGCCACTATGTTAAAATATTGTTGTTGCTAAGATGACGCTTACTATAGTTAGAAGATTAGATAACAACTATGAGGACAGGGGACTTTGATGACTCCACGGCTCGGAGAGCAAACACAAAGGCTTTTATTTGAAAGTCCCAGGGATATGAAAGTAGACTGCTGCCATGGAAGGAGCCATACAAAGTTAGCAAATAAAAATTAGTTTGACCTACTTTCAAGGTCATTGGTCAAATATGTCAAACCTTCAAATGACAACTTTTGAAATACCAAAAGAGCTAGACTCACATTTGGCTGGTAGCTTTCTTGAAAGGAGCAAAAACAAAGCTTAAAGCTTAAAAGGATGTTTACCTACTTTCAGTGTCACCGGGGGTTAAATATGTCAAAACCTTTATACAGCTTCATCTGTATTGAGATTCCTTTAATCTATCTTTAACTTCTTCTGAAGAACTGAAAAGCCTAGTGATATGATATTGAATTTTTTAGTTTCCTTGAAAACACCGAATGAGGTTTTCAACAAAATTTGATCATGCAATCATAGAACTGGCCACAAATAGTAAAACATGGGTATGACCAAATGACCTGGACTTTGAAAGTCATTGTAACAAATGTATACTATATTCTTAATAGTATTATGTAGTGACCTGTAAATGATAAGGGTATAATCAGTGACCTTGACTTATACCATGGGCCTTATTTCATTACTCACAATCTTGTCACCAATATTAGAATGTGCCCTGCAGGTTTTAACCTGACCGAGGGGGACATAGTACCTGTATCTTTGTGTTTGTACTCCATTGGCTCCAAGGGATTTAGTTATAGTGTCATAAAAGGGGACTCATCCCAGCATTGTTTTATTGTTACAGCCCAACCTTCTTTATCATATGACTCCAGTAATGTGATTATCAGTAATTTCAAATGAAACAAAAAAATATCTTGTTTAACGAAAAGCTTTTATGGCAGTCAGACCTAAATGTAGTAGATCTATACGTACATATATAGTTCTTGTCATTTTGCATGTTCTGATGTACTTTACATGGAAATGGAGTGCATGGTTCCATAAATAAAACTTAATTTTTGTTATGAGTTAGCAATGACAACAGTGAATATCTGACTGTATTTATGTATTAAAAGACATTTTCATCAGAAAGTCTGGAAAGTTCTATATTTTTGCCATTAAATGTAGATTTCTTTAAAAAGATTCCTGATCAAAGAATCACATATCCCAGTAAAGGAGTAGGAGTTGTCGTGACCATTACATGCATATATAGAAATTGCCAAAGATTTATTTTCTTGACAAATCAGGAATTCCACAGGGACTTTTATGTATTGGCTTGCCACAGAAACACATTTGCACTAGAAGATGACACTATGGGTAGTAGAGATCAATAGCTCTCCTTGGCACATGACTAAGGCAGTACAGTCTGGGAAAATTAGATTATACAAAGCATTGATATTGATGGCAAAAAGCCACATCAGAATTTTATCTTCATTGGCGAGAATCACAAAACACAGCCATACTCATCAAATTTTCTGTCTGAAGAACTTTATACTCATTACCTCAATGAATATGGTATCATTTATCGTTATGTCTGAGTTTAACTCTAAGTAACATCATTAAATATTAAATTGTTTATCTTTTTGTGTGAGTCACATTTAACGATTATCATTAAAAGTTGTATTGTGAATAGTGTTCAAGAGCATGAATATTAAATGAGTTCTCATTTCATATATGGTACACATTCGTTCGAAACAAGTCCAGGATTTTTAAGTCACCTAACACAGTCTCAAGTGACTTATTGCAATTGCCTTTTGTCTGTTGTTCAGCGTTGTCTGTTGTGCATTGTAAACAATATATATATTTGACTTCTCAATAACCAAAAAGCCCAGGGTGCTGATATTCAGCCGGTAGCATTTCGATGCAGGACTACAAAGTGTATTTATATAGATGACCTTGATCCAATTCCAAGGTCACAGAGGTCAAATATGTTAAAATCTTCAAGTGGTTTCAATTCTTCTGAATAACCAAAAGGCCCAGGGTGCTGATATTGGCCCTGACACATGCTGGGATTGAAGACTACCAATTTGCTCAAATGAATGACCTTCACCCACTTTCAAGTTCAAAAGGGTGAGATGTGTTAAAATCGTCAGTTATCTTCTTCTCAATGACCAAAAGATACAGGATGCTGATATTGGACTCTAGTGTGCTGGGATGAAGGTCCATCTAATTTGTTCAAATGAATGACTTTAACCTACTTTTAAGGTCACAAGGGTGAAATAGATGGATCTTCAGATGTTATCTTCTCATTTCAAACCATGGGTTTGGTTTGGTTTATTGTTGTTTTACATCCTATCGACAACTAAGGTCATTTAAGGACGTGCCAGGTTTAGATGGTGGAGGAAGCCGGAGTACCTGGGGAAAACCACCGACCTGCGGTCAGTCAAACCATGGGAAGGCAAATTGGTGGTGTAGACATACGAGGCAAGATTGACCCAAGGGTTGATAAGTGTGGCCAAAACTAGTCAAATTGACAAAAGAATTCAAAAATCTTCTTCTCACTACCCAGAAACAATAGAATCAAACACTCTTATGTCTCAAGGTGCTTTAGAAAAATTGTGAATTTCATGACCCTGGGGTCCTATATTTCCCCTTGGGAGGGGGTTTACATAATTATGGTTTTGTACATGTATGGGAAATCTCACTTTCAGGCATGATTTATTTAATTACCATTGCTTGGAAATAGTACAAACTTGTTCAGAATTATCAGTGCAGGATGATGGTATCCACATGTTGACCCTTACTGACCTTAGGGAGCTCACGGGTAAGGCTAAGAAGGATCAAACTGACTAGAATTTCAAAAGTCTTCTCTATACCCAGAAATGATAGAATCAAATGCTCTGCATTGATGGAAGGATATTAAGGTGGTTCCCCCAAACTCTGAACTTCATAACTTGGAATCCCACATTATTAACCCTGATGGAAGGGATTGGGTGGTAAATTTTAACAGTTTGTGTAGGAAAATCATGTTTTTTAGCATCATAGGTTAAATAGCACATGGACTTAATTCAAACTTTGTTAGAATTGTTAGTATGGGATGGGAAAAACGATAGTAATCATATATATTCAGGGGTTAATGGCTGGGACCAAAATAATTTATATTGACTGAAACAATTCCGTGTGACCGTTCAGGCAATTATTTCGTCTCACTTGTTTAAAAAAAAAAAAAATTGCATGTTTCTGTGGCAAATATATGCCATAATTGACTTGAATTTCATCATTTACAAAACCTAACACTAAAATAGTCTTACATATAACTTGGTTATGTTATTTTCTGTTTTGTAATTATCATAAGGGCATTGATGATTAAATCATTTGGTGCTTAATTAGAAAGAAACACTGATTTGGAGAACAACGTGTTCATGCAGGTTCAAAATTAGGTTGCTTGTGTGAATGCTTTCGAAATCATACCAGAATGAAATTAATCATAATGTTATTTATTTTTTAATTTTTTTTTGTTTTAGTTCACTGAACAAGTCACGCTTGAAGATTGTGCTAGTGATACAGATACTGGTATGTTTGATGTTGGTGGTGCGAGTCCTGCCAGGAATTACTGCCTTCTTAGGACTTGGGCTGTTTGAGCGACTAAAACACTGGGACTTCCCTGCACCACGTCCGTGGGAGTACCTCTGGATCATCAACTTTATGGCAGCCATATTAGGTCTCAAGTCACTCCCAAAGAACGACATACCCCTTTTGAGGCAGTATGTAATAGGAACAGTAGTTTTCGGAATTTGTCCCATTGCCTATGGAGTTTTTGATCAAATAGATGATTTGTACGCATACTTGAATGAGAAGAAATCCATTGGTACACTTCAGGGATACCCAGCAGTAATTGTATGGTTTATGTTTCTTACCATGGCTATTCAGCTACATGGATTTGGACTATATTTTGCAAGACAGTTATATAAAGCTTGGAAGCCAAGATCCCAAAAGAAGAGAAATTGAAAGTTATTTCATATTTTGTTCATTAATTTTGTATTAAGTGTGCTTGTTTAATTTGTCAGTTTGAAATTGTGTTTGTTAATATGTTCAAAAGTAAATCTGATTTTCTTCATAATACTGGCATATTTTTATAAACAGTAGAATCATGTTGATTACAACATAATATTTCTGGTAAATTTTTGTAATAAATCACTTGTTCAATATTTCATACTCTGTGACAAGGGTAGTTTAATCAGAACTGTGGATGAAACGTTGCAGAGAAAGATAACTTGATTAGGAAGACAAGAAAATCTCAATGACAGTAAATTAAAAATTGAAAAGAAATGCATATTTTCGTTATGTTTTAAAATTTGTTAGAATGAAAATATAAATGCAATAAAAAGGCTGCAGTTAATTGTATATTGACATGGTTTTACCGTAACTAGAAATACAGCATCACAATGATATGGTCGACCTATACCTGAAATGTGCCACTAGCATATCAATCAAGTCATTTTTTTCCATTGTGTATGATACCAGGTATATATGCTCACCAAACCATTCCGGCCTGGTACACTCTGAGAGAGTCAGCTGGAAATTTATCCCTCGTATTTCCATAAGCTTCCATATATAGTTATATTGTGTATCATGTGTTTGCACACAGTTATCCTTTTGTTGCATATTTTGATTTTCAAGATATCGTACTTTTTGTTCCAAGTATTGTCATTAAAAACATGATTTTTGGTGCATTTTGTATTTAATTGTTTATTGACCTATGTCATTCATTAGAGTATTTATTTCCATTACCTGTAGATCATAGAAAGCATTATGGTTGAAAAATTATTTAAAACAGTTCTCTTCAAACACTTTTGAATTTTTTTTTTTTTTAAACCGAAACAGTTTCTGCAGCAGTATGTACATATGATCAATATTTACTCAAAATAAAAATGATAAAATTTTTGCAGCACCAATATTCATGTGGATGTAGTACACAGGTATATTTATGACTAATTATACTGACCTGGCCTAACTTCATAATTACTTCAAAAATTTGTTGTGCAATATATGCCTGCAGTGGTAACAGACTTTAGTAAAATGTGAGCCATGATCACAATTTCATAATCAGGATTTTTTTTTCACTACATCAGCCAATTAGGTCAATCTCCTGACATTACCAAGTCTGAATTTAACTCTTTAAAATGATCCTGCAGGTCCTATGTAATGTCATTAACACACAAAAAAAAAATCCTCAAAATTTGTATTTGGGATGTTAAAGATGTATTCCAAAATCCGAAGAAGATTTTAGAAAAAAAGTGCTTGAATTCATATTGATCAAGGAGACATCGAGCTAGTATGTCAAAAATTACATTAAAATCAGACCGGAGAAAAATGGTATATCAATACAATTTGTATACATTGAAATAACACTAACATTACACGGAAGCAAAATAGAACTGAAATGTGAAATATTTTTTAAACATTCTATGTAAGGGTTTGGCTTTTTATACATCATAGAACATTGTGTAGTTACGGATTTGTTTGTTCCTGAAGTGGCACTGTATGATTTTGTTACCTGCTGTTCAACAATGTGTTCATATTGTGTATCCTTTTAGCCATTTACTGTTGATTATTACACTGTGTGGTATATAAGTTACTTTTGATTGTTGTAGTCTGAGTGGATATTGTGTTGTATGGGTTATTTTTTAATATTATGCTTTGTTATTGTTGTCTGTGCTTAGGTTTCTGGTGTACATATATGTGCTGTTGTTGTGTCTCTGCAGTGCTTTAACAGTATTTCGAAACTTTTTCAACTGTAGAAGAGAAGAATCAACAGTTATAAGAGATACCATTTAAACTATGGTAATGATGTCACTAATAATTTTAAAAATATTTTATTATTGAAGAAAGATGTGTCATTATAGAGACTGTGTACACTATCTAAAATAACATCTTGAAATTCAACTACAAAATTATATTTTAGACGACAAATGCAACATTGAACTAATATTATTCACTCTATGATGCAGACTAGTATAGTGCTATCACAGGGGCATGGGAATTATGACAAAGCAAGGCATTACGTTGTTATGAATTCTGTTGTGTATAGGTAACATACCAAACTCATCAGTTCAATAAAATGGATATTGTGATGAAACAAGGGAGGTAACTCCCCGAATTTTTACTACATGATTGTTGTTCGATGACTGTCTTTGCTTGTCTCTCTTGGTACACAAACTTCAATGTTTTAGTTCTTTTGTACAATCATTAGAATAATCATACAATGTCTCAACCTTACACTGTCACAATTCTCAAGTACCTGTGTTGGTTAATAAAATAGGAGCTATGAGAATATATTTAATAATGTTTTGCTCCAAAAAAGTATTATGAACTCAACATAAGTATGTCAGGACAGATCTCTTATTATTGTATAGATGGTTAGCAATGTACAGTAAAACTTTGTGATAAGCTTGAAATTTAAAATTACTGTGTTTCAGAATATTGCTCAAATTATATAATGTTCATGTGTACAGGATACCTGCACTTGGTAGGTTGGATGTTGTATTATTTATGAAATCAAAACTTCGTTGTAGTACACAGGGTAGTTCGATGTATTCACATTGAGTTTGACAAGTTACTATTCCTGTCGAAATGTATCTTTATCTGTTGTGTATGATGAAAAAAAATGGTAATTTATACTGAGTCAAGTATATTATATTAAAAATTTTGTTAAATGATAAAATGCTACCTGCAAATAAATTGATGACAAGAATTGAAGTCTACAGGTGCTCTAATATACTTTGTTAAGGAGATCTAGGTTTAATAATACCAGTGCAGACAAATTTCCCTATTAACATTACATTCTGAGTCTATGCAATCAGGGAATTGATATATGAAATCCTGTTTTATTAGAATGCAGATTATATTTTTTATGAAGAACCTTGAAATTCATTTATATATATGAAATTTTCTTATGCACTTAGCAGAATAAGTAACTTAGGCACTTTCTTGTTGTGTTGAATGTGACCGTTAATTTTGTTTTATAGTTGAGAATTTTAATTGGTGCAATAGCAGTTTTTTCTTTACAGGTTGAAGGGCTTCAGCAAATGTGTTTTAAATTTAAGCACTGTCACATGTACATAAATACCAACGGGCATTTTAGACAATATTTTTGTTCAAACCCAAACTGTCAGTGTGATGTTTTATTTGTTATGTAAGTTAAAGTTCAGTGACCTTCCCTATCATTAATGTGAAGTCATTCAAACTTGATTGCGTTATTCAGTTGATTTCTATATCACGAGTTATTTGAATGAACTGCTGATTACTGGGTTTAGTTTCGCCACTGTTCCTACTTTCGCTTTGTACAGCTATAGGCTCTGGACCTAAACTTGTGCATTACATAATGGAAGATAGAGTCTAGATATATGTACAATATATAGATCCACAAAGACTTGTAAATTTATATTGAACCTATGTAATTTCACTCAGGAAAAAAAAATAACGAAAAGAAAAATACACATACTGAAATATACTTCTTGAGGCATGTGATCTTAAAGATTTACTAAATTTCTTATCTAAAGAGATAAAATATCTCCATTTCTCATGTAGTGTCGCTTATATTTTCGACAGAAAAAAACCCAGTGTTTTAAAAAAGATGGTATACACAGGTTTTATATTATATAAAGCTTTTACATAGTGTGTACTTTGTAGGTATAGCCATTTAAACCAGCAGTTAAAAGAGATAGTGCTCTTTTTAAAAATATTATTTACCTATCAGAGTTTCCCTGTATCACAAAGAACTTTTGTGAAATGTGAGTTGATTTATTGAAACATATGACCATGCATTATTCTGTTTTCCAATAACAAACTGTCACGTAAACATTACAAACATATGTTCAAATTATGAACCCTATTTCCTGGAATAATGTGCCAACAAATATAAGGACTGTTTATGGAAACCTATACACCTTCCCAGTGAATGGCTCTAGATTAATAATTTCCTGCAAATTTAAGGATGAAAGAAACTTTTACTTGTACTTTAAATAAAAAAGAGAAGTGCTTTTGTTTAAGTAAATATCATGACAGCCCTGTATGCATTTTGTAAGAAATACATCTTAAGAGTTAACAGAAGCTGTGAAAACAGAACCAAATCGTCAAAAGTTAGCATGATTTGGTTTACTTACAGGGCACCTATCAACATTCATCGTGGCTACGTTTACCTTTTTGCATGAAAATAAATCACATATATTGTAGATTGTTTTTGTATGGCTCTAGATCTTAATCCTGATCATGAAACTTTGTTACTATCCTTAACTTTTGAATAAAATTTCTCCCAGTGACATCAATGTGTTGTGATTTTATACCCCTTCATTGATAAAAGTTGGGGTCATAGTGTCCATCCTGTTGATCATGACAGCTCCCAGAGTTCTCCACCAGCATGGTATGTTGTACATCACAAGGTGATTTTATACAAACCAAAATAAAATCATTATGACCTGTTTTGACCTTTGTATACCTCAGTCATATTTTAATATATGGCCTTCAAATTTTGTACACAGATACAGCATTTAAAGGTACTATTTTGTATACAAAAATTCAGTCAATTTCCTTTTGATCGTTGATCTTGGGTACATCTTATACACATGACTGTCCAGACTACTTCAGCCACTGCGTTATGAGAAATGATATGTAGATTTATCATGAATATAACTAATCTTCCATACCATCATTTTGTCATTTACCTCCTTTGTCCTTGGGTTGAAGAAATGTCTCAACCACTGTTTCATGTATAGACATGAATACTAAGCACTTTCAATTTTCAAAGGTCAGAGGTCAAGGACACTGTGATACAAAGTCAATTCTATAGTGGAAGTGTTGGAACGGTCCAGGGAACACTATCCCATGCAGGATAACCAGATATTGCGTACCTGTTCCAAATTCATACCAGGATTGACCAGTTGAATTCGATTGCAGCATCATTGAATGAAAATAAGCAATGGAAGATAGTAATACATAACACGACAAAGAGGACAGCAGAAAAGGTGAATCAATGACTTCAAACAGACATAGTGAGGATATATATAGATCTCGGGTCAGTGTGCTGCAAAAGGAAGTCCTGTGTTACATTGTTACTGTGTTACACAAAACATTACAATTATGTTGATGCCTAACCAGTAGGAGGTAACTTGTTTTCGTTAGATTCGCACTTCTGGGTTTCCTGGTTAATTTTGTGTATGTGCTTTTTATTTGTTAAAGATTCGCACTTCTGGGTTTCCTGGTTAATTTTGTGTGTGTGTTTTTGATCTATTTTTAAATGTCTATACAATAAAAAACAGGTAAAATAGAGATTATGCTTTAATTCAAATTAAAACATGGCACATAAATATCAAAGTCAATTTCCTAAACATAGCCACTAATCCTGCTTTGTCCTTAACTCTACAAGTTCAATTATGGGTGCAAGCGTTGAGCATCGCTGGTGACATTTCACATGTTTACGACTGCCCGTCCTATTCGTAATTGATCGAGATGCACCATTGCATCAACTGCTAGGTCCAGTGTGAATTCCTTAGCTATCTTACACCTGTTGAATGTAACAAGAAGCATCTATATTATGAGGTCATAGAGAGTGACTAAGGTAATTCAACCTTCACAAAATTAATGCTGTGACGATGGAAAACAATTTGAAACAAGTTTATTTTCATTCCGTAAATGAAGTTAAATAAAACTATGGAATGAAAATTTGATATATTGGAACTTGGTCGTATCAAAATTCTGATTAATCAATGATCTATTGATAAAATTTGGCCTGAGGACACTACTGGATAGAGTTATGTCCTTGTATAAGCAAGATAAAAAGTGAAAAGTAGGGACACTTACTTAATGACTCCTTTCTCTAATTTGTCTACAGCATCATGTAATATATCTGTTACATAGGTCAAGGACAGTACATCAGTAATGTGTTGTTCCTGTGAAGTGTGATTCGGTCAAGGTCAATGGGTTACCATAACAAAGTCAACAGGTCATTATGACAGGGTCAACAGGTCACCATGACTATATCTAATGGTAACAGTTTAGTAAAGGTTCCCATAAAACAAGGTCAACAGACAACTGTGTAATATCCATAGATCATGTGGTAACGTAATGTCAGTAGGTTGCAATGAAAAAAGTCAATAGGTCATCAGGACAAGGTCAATAGGTCAACTAGGTCATCAGGACAAGGTCAATAGGTCATCATGATAATATCGATATGTCAGTAATAATGTTAATAGGTTGCAATTACAACATAATTAGGGAACTATGACCTGGTCAGAAGATGAACATGATAACACCCGAAGATCAATGTGAAAATTTAAGTCAACAAGTTGCATTCAAATAAGTCAATAGTTCCCCATGACAAGGACAATAGATGGCTGTGACAATATCCTAAGGTTACTAGGTCAGAATGATACAATAAAAGACTTCCGCATATATTTATGTGACATCCATTTTCATTTGTTACATTTTATCATAGATCAACTGTATTTTTATTGACTTCTTGTGTACTCAGAACTTTTTAAAAATTTCCCCAACTTTCGTTTACAGGGCTCTCACATCCCATTTTGGGACTGGGGCCCGGGGCCCTTAGAATTGGGAAAAACAACCTTGTTTTCCTTAGAATTGGGAAAACTTTGGGTATAAATTGGGAAAAAAGATACTATTTTACATTGGGAATTCGGCCCCAAATCTGGCAGATCGAGAGCCCTGGTTTAAAATCAAATTTGATTAAATATGATTGATACTGAATCAGGTAAGAGTGTATGTTTAATAAGTTGGTCAAGGATACGTTGATATCGTCCATGTTGAGAACAGGACAAATTCCATACTTTGTCAAACAAAAAGCTAACACTGGCCCCTCGCAGAAACAACTGTTGGCTATCTGGTGGGTCCAGCTGTAAGGCAAACCAAATATAAATACAAAGGTTATGAGATTTTTTAATTAGGTACAATTTCATCATAATCTAAGGTATGTGGAAACAGCATGAAGGACAACATACAAAGTAGGTATTCATGAAGATAAAATACTAGGACCCTTTTATGTGCACCAAAAAATTTACAGTCTAACAAACACAGAACTGTGTTATATCCTTAATACCTACATAACAATATATTAATTTCTCTGAATTCTTCAGTCTCACTGACAATGGTTGGTCTGTTGTCATTTATGACATCGTAATGTCACATATGATGACCATGGACATCAGGAAGGTGGCAGTGAAAATATTATGATGGTCATTGATAGCTTGTGTTATTTGATAGGTAAATTCCTTTCAACCTCATTGTGATATCTGTAAGACTTGCACTCCTGCACTAATTATATTTTCTTGTATGCTTGATACAGCCAATAAAATAAATTCTGCACATATGTACACTTGTTTTTATTTACCTGAAGATTATGTTGAGATGTAATCCATTTTCCACAGGCCCCGAGACAGGAGATTAGCTCATGCTTGTGTGGTACAGAATATTTTCTTTTCTCTTCCATGATATTGATGTCTTCCTCACTAGTAAACATACACGCTAAAACAGAAAGTAGATACAAAAGACATTCATGAGACATTGACAAGAAAAAGCATACTTCGTCAGAGAGCAGAATTAAACATGGGTATCAGGGATGATAATCCACCAGCTTGGTAAATGTCCCATTGGCTCTTCAATCTGAGTGAAAGAAACTTCTTAATATTCCAATAAGTATAATATTTAAATAATAATTGTAGTTAAGGAAACAGACCGATGTCTTCATTAATGCTAATACATTAGGTTAGGTAGACATAATGTGATAATATAACTTGTTGTCTTACAATTTGAAATTTTATTAACTTCATTGTTTCATTTTTATATATTCTATACATCGAATCCTCTTACATTTATTATATACATTTCATATTATATATCATTGATAAATATCCAGAAATTTAATTTGGTAGAATCTATTTCAATATTTACTAATATTGTTAATAGAGTTACTAATGTAAACACACCTCCGTTGTCAATGACAACATCCACTCCCACACCCCCAGTCTCCTCCATCACACTGCTGGCTAAAATGTTGCTCCTTTTACTGATGTCTATCACCTGAGCTACAAAATACAAAATGATGTAAAAGAAAAAAGTGAAATCATTGACATCAGACATCAATTCTCTTTTTATCTCCTTCGCTCTTAATACGTTCAGTCTAAATTCTGATCTGAATTATATTACATTTTCATTACTTTATCTGCTTTATCATTTCCCTGTTATCAGCCCACAACAAATTGCAAGCTGAATATGGTAGATGCAATCTAAATTACTTCAAAATGAAATCAATTAAGGTTTTATACAACATACTTAGGCAACAAACAAAAGCAATAAAATATCAACAAACTTCATAAGTAGCCATGGTATAAAGATGAAATTCCACTTTCTGGATGGTAGCTAACTAGGATTCACTTACCTATTGATATTTGTAGACCATCAATAAAGTTCCTCTCATCCTGACTGCTGGAGGTTGTGATGACCTACAAACAAGTAAAGATGTACTACCATGTTTCTATCACTTTTGTAGATCAGCCAAATCAATATACAAAGTCTGTTTTAATTCTACTGTAAATAAATTGTCTTTCAGCAATAAAAATTTGTAAACCAGATTCAAATACACTATATCATGATCATTGCTCATCATCCATGTCTTTGTTCACAATGAATTATTCAACTTTCACATATCAATTTTGATAATAGAATTAATCCCACATGGAAAAAGTTGTTGTACATCACTTTAATCACAATAAGAAGGTACTTTATATAAAGGATGTCATTTTTACAAGCATTATTCATGGGTTCACCTAGGCAGTGCTAAGAAAATTAATTAAACACTGTAGACTTGAAAAAAATTTTACCTTGGCACCCCAATGACTGGCAAGGTGGAGAGCTGCACATCCAAAAGGTGTTGCCCCATCAATCACCAGTACTGTGTCCCCTCCACAAACACGTGCCTGATAATGTAAGGCTGTGTATGCCCTCACACAGTCCCCGATCCCTGCTGCAGCCTCAGTGAAGCTCAATCTGTCTGGCTTTCTGACTGTGAGAGGAATTCAACATATATAAAATTTTAGAGCAAATAACAGTCTGAATACAGAAAAAATAACCTTCCATTTTCTTTAGAGCTGATTGCAATTATTTCCAATTCTATCAGCTTTTCCAAAATTTTGTTATCTTTACATTTCAAATTTATGATTCAATTAAACATAAAATTTCCTTGTATAGCTAATTTTTCATACACTTTTAATAAACATTTAAGTTTTAGGTGAAAATAATCAGACCAAGTTTTACTCACCTACATCATACTCAGACAATAAACAAAATTCTCCACATCCTGAGTATCTGGCATTTAGTGGCACAATACCTTAAAAAAACATATTGTTAAGGTAAATTTATCTTAGTGAATATAAATGAAAACTGATTTATAAGAATTCCTCCCCAGATGTTTCTGAAACTATCTTTCAGTAAAAGTCATTAAAGATGGATAACGAAGTTTCATATCACATACATTTCATAACTTAATCAAAAACTGATTCAATGCAATTTTTTCCACAAAATTCTTCTTCTTCAAACTTTTCTGGAAATTAACAAATATGTTTGAGTTCTTTGTCCTAGAAAAAATGTTCTTTATATCTTACAAAAATAATTCATTTTTTCAAAATCACTTTCTTGGGTTTTTTTTGTTTGGTTTTGTTTTCCTTTAATAATTTACAAGATTTCTTCTGCATTCATTGGTTGTGAAAGTTATTAAACCTTTAGCCAAATTGGCCCAAAACATCAGGTTATTCATGGAAAAGAATTAATTTTACTGGTAATTACAGAAACTTCTTCAAATTTTATTTCAATTCAAACAGTGATAAGTACATGAAGGCCCAAACTTTCAAGAAATGTCTCTAAAACTGAGATCTCACATCTTTAAAATATCATGAGGTTCTTCACATGCACAGAATATCAATCTTCATAATCACTATTAATGATGATCATATCTCACCTACAACATTGTCTCCGAGAGCTACACTGGTCACAGACTGACCAACTTTGACGACAGTGCCAGCCACATCATGTCCAACACTGTATCTGTCTCTCTGGCTTTTCTTATGTACTTCTGTCAGTATCTGGAATATTAAAACAAGGTAATGATATATAACATCAAATTAACAATATCATTTAATAGAAGATGTTTGTTTCAGCATTGATGCTGATTGTATTTATAATCTGAAGCTAAAATGGTCAAAAGGCTTACATACCACTCTCTTATTCAAAAGGAGTTCTAGAAAATGTTCAAATTCAGTACCAGTAATGTCATTCAGTTCAACTTAGCCATTTTTGTAATAGCAAACTAAATCAAATATTGTTGAGCTTGGCCTCCTAGTTATTCAGGAGAAACTGTTGAGATTTTAGCTATTTCACCCTCGTGACTTTTAAAGTATACAGAAGTCATTCCTTTGAAAAAAGCAGTCCTTAATCTCTACATACTCCTAGTTATATTTAATTGCCCATGATTTTAATCTTTGAAATTATGAAGAGTTCAAAGGTTTTAAAATACATCAGCCTCTTTTATCTGAACATCTAATGATCCTTATATCCAGTTTGCTGCTTCCCAAATATCAAGAGACTGAGCCTCTTTGACTGTAACAGGTATTTAACAAAGGAATAGACGTCGGGAGTAGGCACAACAAGAAGCAGTTCCGGTCTGATTTATTCGTGCTAAGAGTTGTTTAAACGTTTCGGATCCAAGCGATCCGTCATCATGGTTCTGATGACGGATCGCTTGGATCCAAAACATGTAAACAACTCTTCGCACGAATAAATCGTGGATTGGACCGGAACTACTTCGTTTTGTGCCTACTCCCGACGTCTATTCTACTTATTTATAGCTGTTCCCAGAAGGAATTTCCTGATTTCACTGTTTGCGGGACATTGTGTCTCCAACCCCCGTTCTTGAAAAAGAAAAACAGAAAAAAAAGGATCGATTCCAAAATTGACAATTATGTATGATAAATGTGACTTTTCCTTTTTTCCTTTTATTTTGTTATCCAGTCAATACAGCATTAAATATAATATACATTAATTTGTATTACCTTTGTGTTATGTTTTGCTAAAGCACATGCTTTTACTTGTACAACAATGTCAAATTTCTCTGGCGAAGGTACCTCTATCTGAAGCATAAGAACATCACATTATAAATCACTATGTGCATACTTAATAAAACTGTATCATGAATAATGAAGTGGTATAACTAAGTCAGCCAGTTAAGTGTACCTCTAAACTGGAGACATACATAGCCAATTCAATATATATATCATTATAATAAGTGCATATTTAACAGGTTGTCTCAAAACAAACTCCTAATATAATTAAGTACCTCACAATATAATAGTAAAATGTAAAGATAATATCACTTAAAAATCACTCTCCCCCACTCCCCTGATGACTTCATTGCATTGATAAAAGGGTCATAATTAGAGTATCAATGTATTACTTGTCATTTCATGCAGTTCAATTACACAAATGCAACGAAATTACATAATATCTGTCATAATCGGTTAAAATAAAGCTGTTTCAGCTAATAAATCTTGATGCAAAATAAAACATGATACATATGAAAAACTTCTGGTTACAAATGAAAGCAAAATTTTCATGACAGCATCTTTTAAGTCCCTTGTGGGTTTATAAAATGTGTAATTATACAATTTGGTTACATATTTGAAGAACAGTTCCACATTCGTCATTTCATTAATTTGATCTATTCATCAAAGAAACCACTTACATCGGTTTCCAGGGTAAATTTCGGAATTCCGTCAGTTGGACTCAATGCATCCTGCACCACAGATCTCATTCTTGGTAAAAGTAACTTGCTACCGGCTAGTTAAAAATAGTTGTCAGCTAGTTTTCTTTCTAGGCCTATTGTGAATTGTGATTCGCTATTTTGAATATTTGTTATAAAATATCAATGTTGAAATAAATAATCCTTAATGAAATGTCCATTAAATAGAGCGAATAAATATACATAACTTTACCATTATCAGAGTAATCAGTTGAAACGAAAATAAAACCGGAAGTGGTCTGTGCTTCGACACGCCCCCATCCTTCCCACAATTCATGCAAATTCCGGTAAAGCTGGGGTGGTGACTGCTGAAGATAAATTTTCATAATTTTTGAGTTGCTGCAGACTATTTCTGACCTTGGAGATTAGAGACAGAAGACGAAATCCGAGAAATTGTTCATTATACAATTATGCATGGGATTTGACTCGAAGAAGGTACTTGATCTTTGCAATTTGTCCAATGTTGGCATACGGTTTTTGGCCGGTGCCATGAAATGATGTGAACTTATGTCTACTTCAAGAATTCAATTGATTGACTCGCCGGATAATATCAAAGTTTGTGTTTTTATACATTTCTTAGATATACTCACACGACGTAGTAATATATACAGTGCTATGTTTTGCTTAAAAGTGCCCTTCATTATTTAGGTCATATCTTTAATTTGAATTGAATTGTTAAATATTGTACTGTATATAATTAAGAATGAAGTACACTTAAGACTAAACGCAATTTATTTACTAGAGAAGTTTTTTCAATTAGATCATGCTGGAATATCACCTTGGACAGACGCTATTATGTGTTTTCTCGGATATATTTACCTGTAATTCCTTTTGGGTGATTTTCAACAACAAACCAATATTTTGATAGTCCAAATTTGACATTCTGTTGACTTTTTTATATTGGTCTGGAGTCAATAAATGTCAAAACTCCAGCCCAATATAGAGTGAGGGAAGTTAGCGATGCATGCCTATGTTAGCATTCAATTAAGAAGTTGTCATTTTCACATGAATATTACATATGGATCAGAAGGTATGTTCTTTATCTTTATCTATCATTGTCGCATTTCAAAGTTCAGTGTATATTTAAATGCTTTTTATGTATCTGTCCATATCTTGATGGAAATTGAAACAGAAACTCAAGTATGTGACTTGACAAGATTCTGCAACACCCAAGCCATTTCCCCCCAAAAATATGACAAAAATTACCATGACAAATATACACACATCCACTCATGATAAGCTTAATTTCACTTAAGAAACAGCCAAACACTCCATCCTTTGTCCCTGCAGTTTGCTACTAGATCTGCATAGTTGAGGCTGTTTCTGTTATGTGCCTCCTCACAACTCTCCCATGACATTGTCAGCTCCACTACAACAAGTGGTTTTTAGGACCATGTCTATTATGAGAGGGCACATAGTGTTGTGCATTTCCCTCTATGGTACACTGTTTCAGATCAATGTCCTATCGTAAGAAACTCTCAACAAATTTCATTCATTTTCCCTCAAGAGTTGTACACCTTATTTTAAGGTTAACACCAATCAAAAAAAGAATTAAAGGTCACACTATGCATGGAGACCTGGACATTCATGTCTTAGACATTTTCTAGTATATTGAAGTATATATGATAACAATTTTCCATGGTTCCTTCATCAACATGTAATCTTGTAAGTCACTTGTATGTTTGAGGCATATTAATGATGATTCATTGCTCACTTGGTTGAATGTTTGGTACTAGTGACAAATACTATGGTAATTTGACTTTATGTTTTTAAAGTTTCTGCAGGATCTTCGATAAATCTAGATACAAACAGTGACACCACCAAGGACATGCAGACTGATCACTATAATTCAATCATTTGTCCAACCAAATTACTTCCTCAACTGTAGTTATCATATTGATTACAGGCAAGTCTTTTGTTGTTTGGATTATGAACTTATTGAATTACAAAATGGCTGACAGATTTCCATTTTGGGTTTTGATGATAAAAGTTTGTTCTGATTTCTATTCCTCTGGCAATAATAGATGAATCTGTCTTTAAGGATGGTTCCCTGTGATCTGTAGTTGTACACCTTCAATACTGACCCAAGACCCAAAAGGGGAAGTTAGACAATATTTTGCCTCAAAACACTACTCCTTCTTAAAGCCTTAGTAGATTTCAACCACATTTGACATGAAACATTATCAGGGAGTGGCAATATTATCAAACATGCATGAAGTGATCCTGAGATTGTGGTTGACCAAATCCTGTTTTTATGCTTTAGTCCAAAATTCTTACTCATTGAGAACAAATAATCAGAACTTCTCATTTTTCATTCACACCAGTTGCAATGAGAAAAATATTTTGATTTTTTTAAAGAAAAGAAAGAGATGATTTGTTGTTACTTTACAGCCTGATTGAAACTTCAATATGGCAACTGCAGTACATAGTTATTTTATAACATGATGGTGCAACTGTTTTTCATGCACAGAACCTACCATTTATGAGTTTCTGAATTCATCAGATTTGTCAGACCACTATCACCGAATTCTGTGGGTTTTCCATCCATTCATCGATTGTCAGATGGCCGTTAAGTGCCATGGCCCTCTTGTACTTGAAAGAGATTTGAAAGTCATAAATAATACACAGCATCAATTGAAATGACACCATGAAGCTTGGCATTTTTTCATATGAACTCCAAAGCTACTCAAGTAAATTAAAATGCAGGGGAGAGTATCATAGTGTAAGTGTTATAAATGTCAAAGGATTGCAAACAAGGAAATAAATTTTTGTGTTTTAAAGTGTATACTGTTACATTCTGTATCATAATCTGTCTCTATTATCAAAATCGTTGCTGTACACTTAACGTATATAAAATCCACTTAGTGGAGCTAGAAATAACAGGAAACACTGATTACTGATACGTTTGTGTCTGGTCATGCATTGTCAGTGGTTAAAAATTAAATCTAAAGATACAGTGCAAAAAACTGAATGAGGAAAGTGAATACTATAATAATGAAAAAGTAATTCAGGTTCAAAATATCAGATTCATATTAGTTGATATCAATGATAAGTGTTTTTGGATACATGTTCTGCGAATGTAAGGATTTCATGTAGAAGTACCTGGTGCATAACTACACGTATACATGAAATATGAAGTGATATGTACCAGTGATGTAAGCTAAAGGTGAGCATTAGATGCATATACATTGTACTGCATAAATTTTTTGACAGAATTTCAACATTTTTATGTTATCTATAATGAATAACCCTTTTTAAATTTCAGTGTACATGTTCAATTATGTATTTATTCTAGTGTACAACTTCTGTAGTAACTGAATGAGTAAATAATTATAATATTATCTATACACTTCTGTATTTGTATGTGAAAAAAATTATATTTTCTTGAGTTTATGTAGAATTATACGGGCTATTGTAAAATTGTGTTTGAAATATAATACTGGTACTATGTTCAAATAAAACGGTATTTTATTTTTGAATACAATTTATACATCTACATAAATTTATGAAAATATCATTGTCTTCAAATTTTCATTTCATTCTGTTTTTGGTTGTAAAAATGTTTTATTTGTTACATGGTAGTCTTTATTACTGTTTCCTAGCTGATGTTGAAAATTGTATTGAAAATAGACTTTAGTTAAAAGGAGCATATCTCTTTCTGATATGTTTTGATTCGTCAGACCCTTCTGACAGGAATCAAACCCATGAACGCTGACTTGGAGTTCCACTGCTCTACCGATTGAACTAAAGGGAAATTGCCTATCAGGAAAAGCTACAAGTAGAAGGCATACTTATACTTAAGTACTTGTACATGTAATGCAGTGAGTTTGCATTATATAGTCTGGACAATTTGAAATTGTCAACTTACATTGTACACATGTACTTGTAGTAATTGATACTCAATGACTTGACAGTTTTCATATGATTTCAGAAATTTTATTTATAATTGTACTGTGCTCTGTATATGAAGTAACATAGAAGCTTTTACATGACATGAATGTTGTAGAGAAATCTACTTAAAACTGTAGACGAAGCTGAAATAAATGTTCTTTGAAACATTGCTTCACTCTTCAGTGTAGACTGAAAACATCAATCCTACAGAATCTGATGCTGTATTATTCTTCAGTATTCAAAATTGATGAAATGTAGTTTCTTTTGTTTTATAGAACTTGCTGATGGGTGCAACCAACGTGTAAAACAATGGCAGCTGCAGGAGGTTCGTTTTAAATTAGATCATTTGAAATTGTTAAAAGTACATTGAAACATTTAAGTGTCACACATTTTATAAACTCTAATGGTATTTTATATTTTTATGCTAAGAGCATTTTCAATGCTCTTCAGCATGTTGCTATCACCCCTGAGGCTGAGTATCAGTACCTCGTTTTCATTGGTTCATAAATCGAAAGTTTACTCCTACTCCATCTGCCGGACATTACCGTAATCATTGGATTATCGCCCCTACAAGTTGCTGATGCTAGTCATTAAATGAAACAACCTTATCGACATTTTCTTCATTACCTGTACATCAAGAAAATGTTTTGTGTTGTGTATTAATGATAATCAGACATCGAAATTTGTAAATACAATGACAAAGACTCACGTTTATGGTGGTAAATTTTGCGAGGCGATGCCAATATGGCGGCTTAACTTTCTTTTCCGCGCGATGCATTGTTGGAGTCATATACATTTGTATATCTTTCTATTTTTCTTTTTTCGAAAATTTACTTCCCGTTTAATACTGTTGATAACTATTAAAAATACTGATATATGTAGTTGAAAATAAAAATGAAACTAAAATAAGAATGATTTAGAGTAGCATAAAATTTTGACGGAAACAGCCAGGCTGCTCTGTGCTGCTGGACCCTGAAAGAAGATGGCGGGTAATTCATGTAGGTAAGTATCACTATATATATATATATATGTTAGCTGAATTTGAAGTCAATACTTATACTGAACTATCAATTGCATTTTTTGCAACAATTCATTTGGAATGAGCCTTCGCATCTATTGAATTTAGGCTTGACGGCGACGCGCAAGCTGGGCACTGCCGCCATAGCACTTTTTTTTTCAAAATATTTTCAAGACTTTTCCCTTGAAGCAGTATGCATTTGAAAAATGTTATGTAAGCATCTAGCACATTTTTGTTGC